GCCTCCTGCGCCGCCAACTGGACGGCGTTCCAGCGCTCGAGGCGCAGCCGGGCCTTCCTCCCCGCACCGGCACCAGGACGCTGCTGAGCACGAGGAACGTCAGGAAGGGGAAAGAGACCACGGCCACACCGGTCCCCTGCTGCTTCTCGCCGTCGGCGAGGCCAGGCCTCAGGACGACGCGCTCCGAAATTGCGGTCGGAGGAGACCCCCTCAGACCTCAAACCAGCTATCATGTCAGAGACGGGGGCGGCGACTGGCGGCACCGCCCCCGCTCCCTTCTTCATTTCTTGGCGGAGGCCGAGGGGTCTGCCTTGCCCTTAGCCATCGCGACGCCTACAACCCTGGCCTCCCGTACCTTCCGCTTCTCCTTCAGAATCGCTGCCTCTTTGCTGAGCTCCGCTGCGGAATGAGCCCGAAGCGAAGGCGCCATCTAGGCACCTCCCGAACGCTCGCTGATCCCTAGGTAGTGGTCCGACCCCTCGTAGCTCGGCGCCTCGGGGTTCTCAGCCACGGCCTCCTCATGCAAGGTGATCCGCCTCAGGAGGAGCTCGACGCCGATGAGGTTCCTCAGTCACGCTGAGCCCGTCCACCGTCGCCAGGAGCTGCACGGCCCTGTGGAGGATCGCGTGCTCGCGGGCAGTCGAGCTGTGAGTCTTGACGCCGCTCTCGCGCCGCCACCTGCTGGCGCGGTCGATCAGACTGGTCACGCCATCCCTGACCACCGAGTCGACCCACTCGGCTCCGATGGCGGGCCCCTGCAGAGGGGAGGCAGGGGGGCCCTCCGCCTGCCGCGTGCACGCCGTCATCGTGCGCACGGCGTCGGCCAGGGTCCGCTCCGTCGGGGACCGCGCCAGGATCCTCGGGTCATCGCAGAGGAAGTTGCTGAGCGCCAGGGCCCAGCGAGCGATGACGGCGCCCTCGGCCAGCTGCTCGAGCACGGCGACGCCCCCGTCGATCACCACGAGGGCGCGGGTCCCCAGCACCGCACCCCCTGCAGGCAGCGTGAACTCCTCGCCGACGTCGTGGCCCACGAGCGGCTCCGCGAGGACCCGCGCCCCGCCTGCTGGGGCGAGGCGGGGGGCCCCAGGCGCAGGGGCCACGGCGGGCACGGGCATCGCCACCGCGGCGGCGCCTCCTGGCGCTCGAGCCGCCTCGCCCAACAGCGGGAACCCTCGGTGGGCCCGCTCCAGGTTGCACACCCGGTCCGCCTCCAACAGCAGCTCGCTGACCTCGGCGGGCGTGAGCGCCGCGAAGTTGTAGAGCACATTGCCAGGGGCGGGGACCCCTCGCGGCCGCACGTCGACCGAAGCCGAGAAGCGGATCCCCTCCAAGTCGCCGTGGTTGAGGCTCAGCTGCTCCACGTAGACGTCGAAGTCGGGCGACACAACCGCGTACTCGTCGTTCTCGACGAGGGAGCCGACGAGCCTCGCGCGATGCTCGCCAGCGCCGTAGTGCACCCACGCGGCCGACCCGCGGCCCAGCACGGCAGAGGCTGCTGCCCCACAGAGGCTGCTGCCCCCGCCATGCTCCTCAGTGGTCGTCGCCAGGAGCGAAGACCACCACTCCTCTGCCGCCCTTCTTGCCGCCCTTGGCCGCGGCCGCACGGGCGAGCGGGCCCTCCGCCTCGGCGTACTCGAGCGCGAGCGCGCTGGCACGCCGACGCGGCCAGAGCCGCCCCAGCACAGCCTGGGCTCGACCGAGCCCGAACCTGGCGAGCTCCCACGCGAGGAGCGTGACGAGGCCGAACGAGACCTCGACGCCCCAGTGGAAGTCGACCTTGGCCGCCTCGGGGCAGGGCGGGCAAGGGTCGGGGCACTTGGCCTGAGGCGCAGGTGCCAGGCACGCCTCCAGCTCCGCGCACAGCTCCTGGGCCAGCGCGGGTGTGGGCGGCACCGCGGCCGCAGGGAAGCCCCGCGCTGGCGGGGCGGGCGCCCGCGCCTCCACGGGCGGCGGCGGGGGCGGGGCTCGCGGCGCACGAGCGGCCGCCCACAGCTGCCCGATCCAGGCCGAACCGACGTGGAAGGCCAAGAGCACCACGCCCTGGGCCGCCGCGCGCATCCAACGCCCTGGAGGCCGCGGTGGTCGGTGGCTCAGCCAAAATGACTTGAGCCAGAAAGGACTACAAAGCAGAAGCACACCCTCACGACGCTCAGCCCTCAGAGGAATCAACTACCAGCAAGCAATTATATGAGGTCGGCGCTGGTACCCCGAGCGACGCTGGAAGCGTCGCAAGGATACTGGAACGGCTCTGGCCGCCAATACGATCTTACATATTGCTGTTGACCGACAGTAATTAACTACGACAAAGACATCGGGCGCGGCCGAACCAACCCCTGGCAAACCATCCACTCCTGTGACGTCATCCGCGCCGTTGGAGCTCCCCTTCCCGCCGCACACAGAAGTCCTGGGGCGAGGCGAGGGGGACGTCACGGAAGGGGGTGGTTTGGCTAGGGGTTGGCTGGGCCGCCCCGCCCCCGAAACCAGGGCAACTAGAACCTCGGACGAGGAGAGAAGGAGTCGGGAATGCTTAAGATCTGGCAGTTCCGGATCGGCGGCGAGCCCGGGGGGGAGCGAGGACGGGGCGGGCCTGCTCAGAAGACTCGGTCTGAGAAGTCCCGCCGCCTTCTGAGAGGGCCTGCTCCTCCGCACGTTTCCCCCCCTCGCCCGCCGCCGAGGAGCGAAGCTGGGACAAGGAGAAGTCTGCCATCTCTGAAACCTGGCAGCTCTGGAGGAACAGGAGGAGGAGGAGGCGTGAGGAGGAGGATAAAGGAGGAGGAAAAGGAAAAGGAGAAGGAGGAGGAGGAGGAGGATGAGGCGTTCTGCAACGCTCTGGAGAGCTCCGGTAGAAGAGCGCTCCGGCAGCACGCTCCGGAAACTTGCCCCCTCCTGCCCTGGCCCCGCACCCACAGACCCCGACGAGAAGCCTTCTCTGGACTGGCACGGGAACCCCCCTCGCCATCGCTCAGACGCCCACCCTCCCTTCCCTGTTGCATTGTCCTCGACTTCTCGACTCTCCATCCTCCGCTCTTCGTTCCTCCACTCTTCCTCCACTCTGCATTCTTCACCCGCCCCCTCCGCTCGCCATCCTCCACTCCCCGTGCATTATTCTCGACTCCGTGCGCTCTTTTTTTTCGCAGGGTGGCCCAGGATGCTCTTTAATGGCCCTCGCCGAGAACAACGTGCACACGTCCGAGCGATGCCGAGCCCCCGGAAGACCCGACCCCCTTACCCGAGGGCCCCCAGCCTCAGCCGTTTCTTTGAAGGGGCTCAGGGACACACAATCAATAGACACAAATCCCAGATTCACCATATTTTCTTATATTTTATGGGTTTTCGTCTTCCCCCCCACTTCCCATATTCTTATATTTTCCCAGGGAGTCGACGATCAATTGTGCCTGTGTGTTTTTGTCCCTCCCGATCCTTGGCGGTCTGGGACCCCCTGGAGGGGGCGCCCTGCCGAAGTCCGAACAGAACCCCCCGCCCCGTCTTGTTCAGGACGCCGGATCCTTCGGAACCCCGCGGAAATTCACAGGAATACTCAATGATCCTTAGGAGTCCATGAATACCGATGGGATCCCTAGGGAGTCCATGGGAATCCTCAGGAATTCCCTGGAATCCATGAGAATCCCCGGGAATCCTTAGGAATCCCGAGCAATTGGCGGTGTCGACATGGTGCACAGCCTACCGCGCGCCGTCTTGTTGATCCTCTGCTCCCGTGCGCAGCGGGGCGACGACTGCGGGAGGATGCCGGATCTGGCGGTGTCGACGTGGCGCGAAACCTACCGCGCGCCGTCTCCTCTGCCCCCGTGCGCGGAGGGGCGACGACTGCGGGAGGACAAGGGAGATGGTGAGAATGACGACGAGGCGGATCACGAGAATCACGACGAGGATGGCGACGATGAACACGACGAGGACGACGGCGATCTCGCTTCTGGATCCTGGCCGTCTGCTGGGATGCGTTCTGGGCCAGGACTCAGAGGGGTATTCAACCGTGGCCACCAGGAGCTTCCCGGAGGCCCCCAAAGAAGGGGGCAACATGCGGGAGGCAGCAAGAGACCAACGCCAGTGCTCCCTGGACCTCTCCTGGAGCGCGTTCTGACCAAGATCGCGCCGCATCGCCAATGCATCGCCGATGTATCGGCGATGCATCGGCGACGTCGGCGTGGGGAAATACGGGCTGCACATCGAGCCGCAGCTTCGATGCGGCGCGATCCTCCGACCCCATCTACTCGGACCCCATCTATAGGAGGCCTAGACGAGGCAAAAAGGGGAGGGCAGCGTCACCAGTATCTTTTCCTCCTCTGAGAAAGGCGCGATAGCAAGGGATTTGTCGACCCCTATCCCAAGCTTTGACAGGTTTTCGAGTGGACTGGAACTTTGGGGCCCAACCCCCTCGGGGTGTATCCAAGGGTTTTTCCCTCCTCTTCGGAACAGCTTCGGGTGTTGGGGGCAGAAGATCGCCTGCGACGCGATCCTCAAAGCTCGATCCGGTTTTTGGGGAGACCAAAAAGTCCCATACCGCTACTCCCCGGACCTCTCCTGGGGTGCGTTCTGACCAGGATCTCAGGGCGACTCCAGCGGTGGCGACGAAGGCCTCCCAGGAGGCCCCAAAGAGGGCACAACGAGGCAAGGGTAGCGGTATGGGCACCTCTTCCTCCTCCGAACTTCGGGGGTTGGGGGAAGAAAATCGCCTGAGTAGAGGCCTCCTAGATGGGGTCGGAGTAGATGGGGTCGGAGGATCGCGCCGTATCACCGATACATCGGCGATACATCGGCGATGCGATGCATCGGCAATGCATCGGCGATGCACCGGCGATGCATCGTCGACGTCGGCGATGCATCGGCGACGAAGACGTGAAGCAAAGCGGGTTGCACATCGAGCCGCATCGGCGATGCATAGGCGATGCGGCGCGATCCTCCGGCCCCATTTACTCCGACCCCATCTGGGAGGCCTGGAGACGCGATCCTCCGAGCTCGACCCGGCTTTTGCCCCGCCGCTCCCGCGCGCGCGGCGGAGCGACGAAGGCGGGCGCGGCGAGGCGGCACAACGCGACCGCCGCCAGGGCCAGCAGGGCCAGCCGTGCGGCGCGGGCGCTCCTGGCGGGGACAGCCGGCCATCGGTGTGCGACGGGGGGCGCCCAATCCCCGCGCGTCCTCCCGTTCCGCCTCGCCCTCCTCCTTCCCCGAGAGGGAGGGGGATATATATATATATATATATATATAGAGAGAGAGAGAGAGAGAGAGAGAGAGAGAGAGAGCCTCCTACTCCCCGTCCTCGCCCACCACCTCCACATCCCGCCACAACCTCCTCCTCCTCCTCCTCCTCCTCCTTCGAGAGAGAGAGAGAGAGAGCGAGAGAGAGAGAGAGAAAGAGAAAGAGAGGGAGAGAGAGAGAGAGAGAAAGAGAGAGAGAGAGAGAGAAAGAGAGAGAGAGAGACAAAGTCGAAGAGGGAGGGATAGAGAGAGGTGGACATCGGAGCGTGGGATATACATGTGCATATGCATATATATATATATATATACATACGGACAAGTGGCAGACCATCCTCCTCCTCCTTCTCGGCCACCCCTCTTCCACATGAGCAACTCCGTCCTGCCGCACGACCAGGCGCATCACCAAGGCGGGCTGGGCGGTTCGCCCGATGCTCCAAGCACGGTCACCAGCCTTGCGGGCGGAACGCCCAACGCCTAAACATAAGTCGGGCCTGTCCCTCTACAGGAGGAAACTTCAAACATAGTCAACACATAATATGGGGACGCTCTGTTTGACTATGTTTAAATATTGTTGGATTATTGTGGTACTTTTACTTTGTCGTCCAACATCCGCCTGTAGAAGGACATGCCCGACCTAAACCTAAACGGATGAAATGCGAAGCGCTCTCAAGACTGGGACCTTGTCATAGTGACGCGCCCACTCGTCTTGAACAAATTCAGGGGCTGCACTGGAGTGCGAAGCGTCCTCACAGTGGGTCCTCTCAGATCCAGCTGCAGGCATGGGCTGCGCCCCCTCGCGAATTTCCTTTACACAATGGGGGCTTCCGCCGTGGCGCCGCGCCCTCTCGTCTTGATATCAGCTCCAGCAGTTGTGCCAGTGGACGGCGGGCCGCTGTCAAAATGGAGCCCTCGCCTTGCGCCGCGCACATTCGGCGAAGGAGGGCGGGGTCGTCTTGATCAGTTCCAGAAGTTACGCGAGTGGAAGGCGGGTCGGTATCAAAGTGGAGCACTCGCCTCGCGCCGCGCACAGTCGGCGTGGGAGGGCGGGGAGAGGGGTAGCACCTCTGCATGTCCGCCACCGACGCAGGGCGGTGGGAGATGGATATACCTGGACCCGTGCGGGGGGCCGAATGCACGCAGAGGTCGGCCCCCGCTGCTCAGCAAGGATAGGCCGTGTGTGTGTGTGCGTGTGTGCGTGCTCGTGTGTGTGTGTGTGTGTGTGTGCGCGTGTGTGCATGTATGTCTGCATATATATATATATATATATATATATATATATATATATCCGCCGGCCCCCTTGTGGGGCCACCAGGCTGTAGGCGCGAGGTTCGCAGTTTCCTGTACCAGTTGTAGCTTGTAGTTTCCAGTGTTACAGTTCTGCTTCTTGCTGGTTACTGTAACTAATTGACTTATTGCTGGTTACTGTAACTAGTTGATTGACCGCGCGAGGGGGGGGGAGGCCCAAACGGGAAATTTAGCACCCCCTGGGCGCGTTGTCTGAATTGCTGGGGGGGCTCGAAATCGACACCCCTCACGCAGATCCGCGGGGTCAGGGTCCAAAAACACATGGGATTTGCCACATTTCTGAAATTCGGTGCCACCCCTCACGCAGATCCGCGGGGTCAGGGTCCAAAAACACATGGGATTTGCCACATTTCTGAAATTCGGTGCCACCCCTCACGCAGATCCGCGGGGTCAGGGTCCAAAAACACATGGGATTTGCCACATTTCTGAAATTCGGTGCCACCCCTCACGCAGATCCGCGGGGTCAGGGTCCAAAAACACATGGGATTTGCCACATTTCTGAAATTCGGTGCCACCCCTCACGCAGATCCGCGGGGTCAGGGTCCAAAAACACATGGGATTTGCCACATTTCTGAAATTCGGTGCCACCCCTCACGCAGATCCGCGGGGTCAGGGTCCAAAAACACATGGGATTTGCCACATTTCTGAAATTCGGTGCCACCCCTCACGCAGATCCGCGGGGTCAGGGTCCAAAAACACATGGGATTTGCCACATTTCTGAAATTCGGTGCCACCCCTCACGCAGATCCGCGGGGTCAGGGTCCAAAAACACATGGGATTTGCCACATTTCTGAAATTCGGTGCCACCCCTCACGCAGATCCGCGGGGTCAGGGTCCAAAAACACAGGGATTTGCCACATTTCTGAAATTCGGTGCCACCCCTCACGCAGATCCGCGGGGTCAGGGTCCAAAAACACAGGGATTTGCCACATTTCTGAAATTCGGTGCCACCCCTCACGCACATTCCATCGCAAGGCGTGGTAACCCAAACTGCGAGAACTCCCTCGGCCCTTTAATCGCAAGGTGTGGTAACCAAGCCCGTAAACCATACACGTCTTACCAATCGCCAGGTGTGGTAACCCCTCTTGTGATCAGTTGGTTTTGCTGATTGCGAATCGGCTTCGCATGAAGTTTCGATACTGCTTCACGACAGCGCCAAGGCCTCATGACTTAGCTCTTCCATGGCCCATTCTCCGAGAGAGGGGGCCGGCGGCAGGGGGCGAAGCCCTTACGGATATATATATATATATATATATATATATATATATATATATGCACATGTAAATATATGTCTGTCTGTCTGTCTGTCTGTCTGTCTGTCTGTCTGTCTGTCTGTCTGTCTGTCTGTATGTATGTATGTATGTATGTATGTATGTGTGTGTGTGTATGTATGTATGTATATATATACATATATATATATATGTGCGTGTGTGTGTGAGAGAGTGTGTATGGGGGGGCGGAAGGGGGGCGCCTCCAAAGGCTTAGACCTCCCCCTCGTCCTCCTCATCCTTCTCTCTCCTCCTTCCTCCGCCTCGTCTTCTTTCTCCTCCTTCCTCCTTCCACGATAGGCTTAGACCTCCCCTCGTCCTCCTCCGCCATCCTTCACCACCTCCTCCTCCGAGTACGCGAGAGGGAGAACGTGGAAACACACGACAGGGAGATAAAGAGACACATTAAGAAACCTTATTCAAAAGCGGTTGCCAGCGTGGAACCGGAAGCACCCCTCCCAGATATCCAACGTCTTGGCAACATCACAGTAAGACAGCAGCCCAAAACAAACCAGGATGAAGCGCAGGCCCTCGGGAAGCGATTTACAAGGGGGCGTATGGAAAAGGTCAAGACATCGGATCTGTGGGCGCCATCCTGGCCCTCCCGACATGGATTCAGAGCTGCCGCCGAGCGCGTGCGCGTGCAGAGCAACATCAAACATTGCCAGCACCGACGGGTGGCCGTCCCGACATCCTCACCCTCTCCACCTCCTCCTCCTCCTCACCCTCCGTCCTCCGACGACGAGACAGAGAGCGAGAGAAGCAACAACATAAGGGAAATAGACAGAGAGCGAGAGAGAGAGAGAATGGAGAGGACGCCAAGACATGGAGTGGAAAGTGGAGTGGAGTGCTCGAGACAACGAGAAACAAACACAGCAAGAGAGAGAGAGAGAGAGAGAGCGACAGAGGGAGAGAGAGAGAGAGAGAGAGACAGGGAGGGAGAGGAAGGGGGAAGGAGTGGGAGCTCTTGGGTCGCAGGAGGCTGTCCAAGGTCTATGGCATATGCCCCCCCTCTCCACGAGAGGACCTCAATACAAATGACAACTAATCTCGGTGCTCCGTCTCCCCCGCCTCCTACCCCCACCCCCTGAGCCTCACCCCCCACCAACCCCCACCAGAATTGCCCGAAGTTGCCCAGGAATGCACTTGGACAACAAAACTCGGAGGAAAAGTCCAGCCGCGGCGACGAAACACATGCTGGCCCCAAAGAGCCCCCAAATACGCACAACAACCATGAGCCTCCCACGTCGGGCCTCCCGCTGGGCGACAGCGGCATATAAACGAAATCCCGTACGTAAAGACATCAAACAAGCTCGCTTCTCCTCCACGCTCCCCGCTCTGGCCGCCCATCTCTCCTCCTCCTCCTCCTCCTCCTCCTCCTCCTCCTCCTCATCCTCTCCCTCCTCCTCTTTTTTACGCTAGACCAACGTAAGGAACGAGCCTGTCCTCCTCCTCCTCCTCCTCCTCTCTCCTCCTCCTCCTCCTCCCCTCCTCCCACCCTCCCTTCGAAAGCCGTTGTTGGAGGCCCAAGACATGTCCGGCGCGCGCTCGAAAGCTTTGCTTCTGGACCTGCGGGCCTGGATACCTTTCCAGGACGTGCTCGGATAGAAAGCACAGCAGAGTGCTTTGGCCCAAACCTTCGGAGGTCCGTGTGGCATTCTTCGGGTGGGCGCTGGACCTTTTTGGCGCGCGGAGGGGAAGGGGTGGTCCAACGCCGACCCCAGAAATCCGCGCGGACCTTCGACGGTTTGTGTCTGCTTCGTCCTGTGCTCCTGGGGCGCCGTGGACGGGGACCCTGGTGCACCGGGCCATGGGCGCACCCTAGATGACTGCAGCCGCGGTCGAGACATGATCCATTGCTCATTCCCTGCCGCTGAATCTAACAAGCCCCTGGGCTGCAAAATCTACGTCTCCGGAGCGCGGATGGTTCTGCGAATGCTGTCGCCAGGAGCTTGCAAACCAAGACTTTGGCCAGAACTCGGGTTCGGGGAAACGCGGAGACGCCAAGGCGCTGGCAAGGTCGAGCCGAGGCTGCAGACCGAGCCCAGGGACATCTGCCGACGCAGCCGAAGACCTGGACACCTGGCAGAGCAGAAAACCGTGATTTCGCAAACAAAACGACTTGGTTTTTGAACCGGCGGGGAGAAGGAAGGAGAAGGGACGAGGGAGGAGGGGGGAGGGAGGGAAGGAGGGAGGGGGGAGGAGGAGGAGGAGGAGGAGGAGGAGGGGGGAGGAGGGAGGGAAGGAGGGAGGGAAGGAGGAGGAGGAGGAGGAGTGAATGACCCTTGGTAAGAGTTGCCTATGGTGCGCGGGTTCAAAGGACCGGGGGGCGGCCAGATCCAAGCGTACGCGCACGTGCTGTGGTGGGGGGGGGCTGCATGCCCGCACCGAAGGTCCCTCCAAGTACGGGTCATTCCAATGAGAAGCCGGAATCTGCACTTCCACGACTAGTACGCCTAAGAAATGCGAGATGACAAAAACGCTATAAACATAAGCTTTTGGCGCTCCGGGCGGATTTCTTGGATCTGCGCGGGAGCGCCCTGGCGGCGCCTCTGGCGCCACCTCTGGCGCGCTCCGCGCGCCAGGGAGGGGGCTTCAGCGCAGATCCAAGAAATCCGCGCGGAGCGCTAAAAGCTTATGTGTATAGCGTTTCTTCTTCTAAGTTTAAAAGGCATGTGGGGAGACCCACTGAACATTTGCTTACGCCTCCTGTGGGCAGAATCAAGGAAACGATTGCAAAACCACAACACAAAATGCTCACAAATAACAGAACCGTTGTACACCTCAACAACAGCAATTCGTGAAGTGTCAACTGCCGCTCAGATCCTATGGCACACTATACTGCAACACATGCGTTTCCTCTCCAACTGCACGCCGCCTCCTGCTGCAGCTCCTGGTAACCACAGATCCTCCCCGCTAGTCGTTGTAATTGCATCCCGCTGCCGTTGACTCACCTCCCTTCTCCTCCACCTCCTCCCTCCCGACCCTCCGCTTCGGCTCCGCCTGGCCCCTCTGGCCCGTCGGCCGTCCCCCCCCCCCGCTCCCGAGGAACGTGAGGGGGGGGAAAGATTCAAAAAACTCGGGCGCCGCCGCAAGGGGGCCTCCTCCTCCTGCTGTTCCTCCTCCTCCTCCCTTTCCTCCTCCTCCTCCTCCTCCTCCTCTTCCTGGGAGGGGGGGGGAGGGGCTGTGGGCGACAATACTTGGGGCGCTCCAGACAGGGAACGAGACCCATCGGTAATTTCTGGATCGCCATGCTGCATTGCCACTCACGTGAGCGACGGCTCGGGTGCAGACTCGGAGGGGCCCCCCACCCTGGCGCTCCAACGCCTCCCGAACCAGGAACCTGCTTGCATGTGGATGGGGTCGGATGGTCGCGCCGATGCGTCGTGGCATCGGCGACGTCGTCGAGGCGCCCCTGCCATGAGAAGGCACGGGCCCTGAGAGGGAAGGGGAGAGCGGGGAGAGGGAAGGGGTCCTGGTCCCAAGGGCCTTCCCCCTGGGACCAGATCATCCTGGAACAGCCCGGGGGAGGGCCCCGGGAGCCCGACAACGCCGAGAGGCCCGAGGATCCCCTTCCCTCAAGACCCGACTGCGTCCTGACGCCCACTTGCCGTCGCTCGAACGTCCATTCCCCGTGCGATGTTCGGTTTCGTGCGCGTATGTTTCGCCAGGTGATCCAGGATGCTCCTCGATGGCCATCACCGAAAACATGCACATGTCCGAGCGATGCCAAACCCTCTGCGGCCAGAAACGAACAGGACTGCAGACCAGGAGATACCGATACCGCTACTCGCTGGACCTCTCCCAGGGTGAGTTCTGACAAGGAGGTCGAGGCGAATCCAGCTGTGGCGGCGAGTGCCTCCCAACAGACCAGAGAAGGGTAGCTGGTTGCGGAAGAACCGACCCCAAACCCACAAAACATGACTACCCATGTTGTACATACGTTATCCTATCTCCGTCTCTACATGATGAATTGTGAGCCACGTCTGTCGCAGAACGGACAAGGGGCACTGGGAAAGGGGCTGCCACTGCTTGACAAAAACCTTGCCCCGATGTCTGGCCGCCGCAGCGACCTCCAAAACCGACCTGGAGGTTTTGTCCGGAAATGAGCATCGCGCAACGAGTAGCCTTAGGTTGGGCATGTCCTCCTTCAGGCGGGTTTTGGATGAAACATAAAACATAGCCAGGACAGACTCACAAATGTTCAGAAGAGCACGATACATCGGCCCCAGACTATTTCTGTCTTCGTGGACTACTCTCGCACCTTCCTCCTGTAGGGGGACAGGCCCGACTTCAAAGTCGCGATATAAGAACCACGTGCTCCTCTGCTCCCCGCGGGCCCCGCGTCCTGCGCGGCGCCATGTGCGCGGAGACTGCCCCCACCCACCTCTCGGGGCCTGGCCTTCTCCTCGAGCCGAATCGGCCCTGGCAGGCTGGCCCCTGCCCTGCCGCGGCCCGCCCCGGGCGGCGCGCCGATCGAGGAGAGGATCGAGGCTAGAGGATCGCGTCTTGAGAACCGAACCGCCCCTGAGGGTCGAGTTTGCATACGTGCGCTCTAGCAGCATGTGTGTATCTAGGAAGAAGCAACTGTGATTGTATACATGTTTATATATACATATCTATATTTATATATATATATCTATGTATATATAGATAAATATAGATATAAGTATATAAATATATTCTCCCTTTCCAAGATTTGGACTATCATATTCTTCCTGTTCTATTTATACAAACATATATATATATATATGTAACTGCTCTCTCTCTCTATATATATATATATTCTATATAATATCAATTTTCAAATCATCAACTGGTTGGGTCTTCTCCGGTGTAATTCTATAATCTGGGGCCCTGCGACCCCCCCCCCTAAACGGGACCCCTCCGGATCCTCGGCCCCGTGGGAACCCTGGACGCCCTGTCTGTCCCCTGTGCGTTCCGGGGTTCCTGAAGCCCCCGCTGGGCCTACGAAAACGGCCCAAATCGGTTACGCGGGCGGATGGACGGCACCGCGACAGCCCACAAAGGCCCCAGACACCCACCAGACGCTCGAGGACGGCCGAAAGAAGACCTCCAATAGGCATTTCAAATGCAAAAAACACGGATACCCTATGGTTTTGCATGATTTTGCGAATGTTCAGCTCTTTAGTCTTCCGGGCGTCAGAGACCGCCCAGGAGGCCTGAGAATCGCCCCAAATTTAAGAGGGCTTCTAGGCAGTCCAGGAGAAGCCCAAATAGGGCCCAAAGATGGTCCGAAGAGAGCCTCATGACGGCCCACGAGTGCCCAAAGACGTCTGCAGAGTCAGTCCAAATCGCACCCCCGCGGGGTGATTCGCGGGTGGGCCGCGGGTGGGTCGCGGGTGGGTCGCGGCTGGGCCGCGGATGGGTCGTGGGCCGGGTCGCGGCCAGGGAACATGAATGACCGCTCGGCCCCCTCACTCTGTCATACAATTTTCAAGATATGTATATGTGTATATATATATATGTGTATATATAAAACTATGTGTGTGTGTATATAAATACGCATGGCCGGAAAATTATACAAATTATATAAATGGGCATAACGGTTTATGTAGAAACGGTTATTGTGTATGATTGTTTTGTACATATATATATACACATATACATATATACATATATATGTATATATATATATGTATACATCTAGATGCTTTTAGGATTTGGGACCCTCTTCTGGCCTCCAGGCCTTCTGGAGGCATCAAGAAGTCTCCAGGGGCATCCAGGTTCATCCGCGGAAGCTTCTTGGGACCCACGCAGACCTCTGGCACCCCTCGTACCACCTCGTCAACATTTACAGCTGTAGACACGCAAACAGGAGTCCAACCCACGTTGCCCGACATAGTCTACATGGCGCTTCTCACGGCGGGCAGCTGGGCCGCGTGCGAAGGTGGCGTGAAAACTGTGACGGTCTGGTATACTAAAGCCTCCAATCTGAAACTCTTCCCGTCTTGATGGGCAAATTTTCCACCACCACTACCACATGTAGGACGGGGGAAAAGGGAGGATGAGGAGGTCCTCTTCCTCCTCCTCCTCCTCCATCTCCTATGGTAGTAGTGGTGGTGGAAAATGGGCCCATCAGGTCTGATCGCAAGACGCTGGCATCAATCCAGACGGTGGCTTAAGTCGGGTAATGGAATCACTCGCAACTGTCGTGGAAACACTGCACCGAGCCGTAGACACCGAGAGGGGTGTCCCCATGCCCTTCACAGCACAACACACCTGTCTACAGGGCTCGCCTCTCTACTGGTCCCACAATTCATCTACACACTACCAACTTCTCATCTAGAAGCAGCTCTCACTATGTCGATGCCACCATCTATTTGCCGAAATCAATATAAATACACGCGACGATCTCGCTACAAATCGGGACAACAGCCAGGACAACAAACGGGACAATTCACTGAGCAACTGTCGAACCCACCGCGGGACGACCGCAGGACAACGACGGAACCCATGCGGGACATCCCGGGCCACCCCGTGGCGGTGGGGAGAGCCAGGCCTCCGAAAACATGGCGAGCACTCATGTCGGGGGCGCGCCAGCATGGATTAGCGATCCATGGACTTGGCGCGCGGTCGCCAAATCCATGGATCGGGGGAGGTGCCCTCACCAAAAGGCGGCCGGTGCCGCCTCGTTCGGCGGCGGAAATCAGCGATTTCCCATGGAAACGGGACCCGTCGCTAATCCACGCCCCCTTCATCCATGTTTGCGATCGCCTGATCATGCCACATTCATCGGTCAACGCCTCCCCCTCCCCCCTCACAGGTGGCGGTGGGTCTGACGAGCTGTACTTCGACCGCGGTCTCCTCCGCGCGTGCCAACTCTTTGAACTTCGGGGAAAAGGGAAGCATGTCCATGAGCTGTTTCCCTCTGGCGTGCGTTGCTGCATCCGGCCCCGGCCTGGAGCCAGGCAAGGACATCGCTTCCCGCCTGCACATAGCCTCGCCTCGCCCGCCCGCACGGCACGAGCTGAGGGCCCAAACCGATGACCCCAAGAGGGCCACGGCGCTCTCGCCCCCAAACCTTCGCACTACACTTGCACACGAGTGGCACGCGCGTGCCCAGAGCCATGCCCAAACGTGCTGCAGAGCGTGCGCAAGTGCAGTGGGGAGATGGTCACTCCCAGTGGCACCCTTGCGGGCAGACTGGAACGACGGCGTCGGGTGTTCAGGGTGAGGTGCAGCAGCGGGTGCGTACGCGAGCGCAGGCGGAGGTGTCGCACCTGGCAGTGAGTTTGTCGCAGGGGGTTCCACACTTTGCGACTCCAGCTGGCGCGAACCTGGGGGGTCGACCATGTGTGTGGCTGCGTGGGTCCTGCCGCACCGAGGCTGAGGCAAGGCAGGCACGGTGCTCTCGCGGGAAGAAGAGAGGACGGACGAAGAGAGGGAGGGGGGACCGGGACGAGGGCGGCAACGACGACAGCAGCCGACGACCCCAGACAGCCGACGATGTGATTCGTTCCGTGCGCGGCCGCAAAGGTCCCGACACCTTCCTGTGGGACCCTCGTCGCTCCTGCCCCAAATGTAGGTCGGGCAAGTCCTCCTGCAGGCGGATTTTGGAAGAAACATTACATGTATCCAAACATGTTAAAAAATGATCAAAACATAGAATCAAAACATCGTCCCCAGACAATTATTTGACTATGTTTGAAAACTGCTCCTGTAGAGGGACATGCCCGGTTTAATCCTAGACCCGTGCCTCGCTATCGCTCGGACGTCCCTTCCCCATTCATTGGTGGAATTCGCGCGTCTATGTCTCGCACGATGGTCCGAGTGGACGGTTTCCCCCGGGGCCGTAGGCAACCCGAAGAGGGGGGGCGCGAGGAGGAGGAGGAGGAGGAGGAGGAGGAGGAGGAGGAGGAGGAGGAGAAGGAGGAGGAGAGAGGAGGAGGAGGACGGGTCGCCCAAGCCCTTCGGAGAAACCCTCCAGGTCCGAGCCTTTGGTCGGGCCTGTCCCCTACAGGCGGATTTTAGACGACAAGTAAACACACACACACACACACTTCGAAAACAGCAAAACCAAAATCGTCCCTCTTGCCGTCGCTCGGACGTCCATCTCCCGTGCATTTGTCGGTTTCGTGCGTGTTTGTTCTTGTTTTCTCGATGGTCCAGGATGGTCCTCGATGGCTCTCGCCGAGGGCAAAATGCACACGTCCGAGCGATGCCAAGCCCCTGGCAATCTGTTTTGCTCCTTTTGAACATTCCCCCGGTCGAGGGACGTGCCCGACTCGATCCGAGCTGCTCCCCTAGAGGACAGAGAACTATGCACATACACCGATTCTGGCCAGGCCCACCCTGAGCCCAGGATCGGTGCATACGCCCTCCTGCCTTGGCCAGGAAGGCATATGCACCGATCCTGGGTCAAGGATGGGCCTTGCCAGGATCGGTGCATGTGCATAGTTCTCTTCGCCCGATCCCCGAGGGCCCTCGCCGAGAAGAAGCCACGCACGCGTCCCCGAGGCGACGCCGAGGCCGCCCTCGGTGGCCCGAGGGCGGGGGGCCCGACGGCGGGCCCCCCGCCAATTCGGGGCCGCGAGATCCAAGGGCTCCCAACTTCGCGCGTCGCGCTTCGCGCTTCGCGCTGCGCCAAGCGCGAATATCTTCGCGCTCTCGCGCCGCCTCCCAGGGGGGAAGAGGAGGATGAGGAATCGGAGCCGAACCGCGAAGCGCGAAGAACTTCGCGCCCTCGAGGGCGGCCTTGGAGATCTGGGAGCGGAACGCACGCCGCCGGGGATCCGCAGCCCTCCACTGGGAGGCCACACATGCGAACTTAATTTCGGGCATGTCCCCCTGCAAGGGAAAATTCTAAACTCATAGAATTAATGCTGGAGATCAAATTCGCCGGGAAAGTGGACATGCCAATGAATACGGATTAATTAGTGGAAACTCGCTCACCGCTGTAAAACAGGCTGGATCCGAGCGGACTTGAGCATCACCACCTCCGCGCGGAATTCGGGTTCGGGGTTCGGGTTGGAAAAGGCTTGATTCTGGTCTTGTAGTCGGATCATTGGAACATTGAGAAGTCATCAAACCATACTCGAACATGTGACGTACTGTTTGTTTCAAAAAGGGGGAACAAACAAACAAAAAACATCGTTCCCATAATTACTATTGTGGTATTGTTCTCGGACATTCCTCCTGCAGAGGGACGTTCCCGAGGTGGGGTTCACTTCGCCCCCCCCGAGCGAAGTGAACCCCACCTCCCCTCTTCGAAGTCCTTGGGTGATGGGATGGGCCTCGCACGTGGCCTCCCGTATCCCCCCCCCCCCCCCCCGGGGGAGCCCGCGCACTCGCCGCGGGCCGCGGCTGCCCCGCGGTGCCACCGTGGTCTCGCCGCCGCGCGCCAGGGCGTGACGTGGCGGGGGAAGGCGGGCCGCCCGAGGTGGACCGTCAGCTCGTCGACCTCCTCCGGGGCTCTGCTGGCCCGGGTTGGCCCACGCCCGGGCCAGTCAGGCGTGGCAGGATCCTGCAGGCGCTGCAGGACCCTGCCAGGCGCTGCAGGATCCTGCGAGAACCTGCAGGATCCTCCAGGGATCCTGCGCCCACGCCCGGGTCGGTGCGGCCCTGGCCCTGCAGGATCCCTGCGAGAACCCGGCGCCCTGACTGAGCCCTGCTGGCGTGGGCCCCCGTCTCTGGAGCCCCGAGAACCTGGGCGCTTCACCGCTGGTCGCCCTGGGCGTTCGCGCCCGAGCCAGGGAGGCGCGGAGCCGCGGCCGGGCCCGGCTGCTGCTTCCGGCCCGACGAGCGGCAAGAGGGCGCGACGGAGCGGCGCATGCCCGCCCCCGGCGGCATGCTGGCCTCTCGGGGGCAGGGAGCTCGGCGGGGTGGAGGCGATGGCGGAGGAGCTATGAGTCATGATGTTCCAACGTGCTGTAGCCCTGATCACCAGGAAGAATTTCGGGCACGAGGAAAATACCGAGACTGAGGGGTTCTCACGTGTCGGGCCCTGGGAGGCGACACTCGTTCGACACTGATTCGACACTTTGCTGGGAGCTCGAAAGTACTTCTGTGGCCCTTGAGCACGATGGGAACAACATAAGCCATGAGCAAAGATCGATGTGCGGGGGGTCCAAATGATAGAGGAAGTAACAAACGGTATAGACATAAATTTTGGCGCTCCTCGGGGGTTTCTTGGATCTGCGCTGAACTCCCCTCCCTGGCGCGCGGAGTGCGCCAGGAGCGGCGCCCGAGGCGCCTCCAGGGGGGGGGGGGGGGCGATCCAAGGAATCCGCGTGGAGCGTCGAAAATTTCTGCTTATGCAGTTCTTGTCTTCCTTCGATGAGTCGGGTGACTCTCGCCGAAAATGGCGGAGGCAGAGGAGGAAGAGCAGCCGCATGCGCAGGAGCCGCAGGAGCAAATATGACCTGCGGTCTAGCGGCGGAGGAGCGCTCATAGCAGACTGATCTCAGGCTTCTAGATACATTTCACTATTGCCCCTTATGATTCCCTTCCCATTGCTGTGCTGAACAGCTCTGTAGCTCATCTGCAGCACAAGTAACCCTGAGAGGCGAGGCGAGGAACCCAGAGAGGCGGAGGAGCCCTGCGATCCATCCCAGAGGCAAAGGCAGCGGAGCTCTAGCGAGGCGGCGGACCCCGAGATTGCGGACGCTGGGTGGATAGTTCTGGGTGACCCAAGGGGTCCAGCTGCAACGGGGTAATGCAATGGATTTGGGCCAATTGTATTGCAAACGTATTGCGCTTGAGAATTGTATTGCATTGTATTGCAAGTGATGTACTGCACGCGAATCCAGCAAAACATTTGCGCCCCAGAATGTCTTGCACGCCCCAAATGTATTGCAAACCCACATATCTATTGCACCAAATCTATCGCACAACCCCCTTGTCGCTGGACTCCTTTTTGGGCCAACCCGAATAACATCGGGCCCGGTGACACTCGCGGATCGGTCCCGCCAGAGGAGCACCGCAGGTCCAAACCTCTGGCTGTGCATGTCCCGCCGAATGCTGCAACTTTGCTCCTAGACATGCGACGGCTTGAACTTGTCAATACGCGGCCCCCAAAAGTCACCACCCTCCCGAAGATTGGTGTTTCATCCCAGGTCTACGCAACGAGAATATAGAGACAGACGCTCTCAGACGAACTTTGTATGTACCTTCAGGGAGGGCGGCGGTGTGTATAGAGTCGCCTGCTCCCAGCGATGATCTATACACCACCAACCTCCCCTGAGGTTTAGGATCAATCCATTGGATGGCGTCTGTGCGTATACACACATATATATGTATATATATATATATACATACAGTCTTGTGGAGGAGAGTCGTTTCTTGACGGTCCCAGGGCACGGCGAGGGCCCCTGGAAGCCGAACACGGCTGCTTTCCCGCCCCGAGCCGTATTTTTTGGCGGCCCTACAAGGCTCGGCGAGGGCGCATCGACACCGACACCGGCGACAACAACGCCCTCTTGACTGTTTCTCATGCGTCTGGCGGGCTTCGGAGCAGCCCCGCCGCCGCCGTGAAGGCCTGCCCCCTCGGGCCGCCGACTCCGCCTTCGCGGCACCCCGACCAGCCGCCCCCCGGCCGAGGTGCTCACTGCCCCGCCCGCCAGGCACGAGGCGCGCCCGCCGGCGCCCTCGCCACCAGGAGGCCACACGCCGCCGCGGGCACGCCAGGGGAGCGCGAGCACCCGCGGCACGCAGCATCACTCCGCCCTGGCGCGCTTCGCCGCGGGCTCCGCCGCCGCGGGCTCGGGCGCCGCGAGCTCCGGCGCCGCGGGCTGCGGCGCCGCGGGCTCCGCCAGCGCGGGCTCCGCCGGCGCCTGCCCGGTGGCCAGCCTCGAGGCCAGCAGCGGGTGCAGGGCCTCGAAGGTGCCTGGCGCGGCGCCGTAGACCCTGGCGGCGTGCTCTCGGGCAAGGCTCTCGCCGGGCGCTGCCAGGAGTGGGCGACGGAGAGGAGGAGGAGGAGGAGGAGGAGGAGGAGGAGGAGGAGGAGGAGCAGGAGCAGGAGCAGGCCAAGGTCGAGCAGGAGCAGGCCGAGGCGGTCTTGTTCGCAAGGAGAGCTGGCGAGCCGAGGCGGAGGCTCACGCGGGTCGCCAGCGTGGCATGCCGCGAGGAGAAGTGCGCGCTCACGCGCGACCCTGAGCGGGACCCTTTCGTCGGCCCGCTCCTTCTGTGCCGCCCTGGCCCGAAAGGCCCCCGAGGAGCTGCAAGGAGGCCCCACGGCCTCCGGAGCTGGAGGAACGACACGCACGCACACTTTGCATGAGCACCGGTCTTGGGCAGAAGCCATCCTGGGCCCAGACTGGGTGCATACACCCTCCTGGCTCGGCCGGGGAGGCATGTATGCGCCGATCCCGGGCCCAGGATGGGCCTCGTCAGGAGAGGCGCAGATGCGCCCCTCGCGAGGCTCAGAGGGCTCCTCGGGGGCTCTGGAGCGGAGCGAAGAGCTGGGGACGCCTTGGGTTCGGCCAGGCATGTCCCCCAACAGGGGGATGTTGGAAGAGAGACAAGTTAGAATCAACAAACACAGAAATAGCTGAACAAAAAACGTACCCTGGCTATTTTGTGACTATCTTCAAATATCGGGGAGACGTAAGACTCGGGTACGGGGGACTCGGGTTGGCCTGACGGGGGCCATCATAAAAATGGCGAGACCCAATCTGAAATTTAACGCGGGCCCCCGCTGCAAACATCCCACGAAAACGGGACCGTCAAAATCCAAGACGCACTCGTCCAAAAAAAAAGTCGGCAAACCCGCGTTCCGGCTTCCTCGAGTCAAAATGTCTTTCCCCGAACATGCTCCTCCTGTAGAGGGGCATGCACGACTCAAGCCTTTCGGGAGCGTCCAAGAGGGGGGCGTCCAAGGGGGGGGGCACAACTCATGGCAGGCGGCACGTGCGCGGCCCAAGGGGGGCCAGGACCGTAATAAGATAAGAAGGCGCGCCATGGAATCTAGGAAAGTATCATGGCCCACGCCATGATATCCACCCCACCCTAGTCATCACCCCCCTCTTTGCCGCCCCCGAGCATTGGGCCAAGGGCACCCCCGGCAGCCCCCAGTCTCGAGGCGGCCGCGCTCCTCCCCGAGCAGGCCCGCGTCCAGCGCCGCGCCGAGGAGCGCCGCGGTCAGGCCCGCGCTGACGGCGCTGAAGGCCTCGCGCGCCGTCGCGTGCTCGAGGGCCATGGCGAGCCCCTCCAGCTGCGCCTCTGCGGCGCCCCGGAGGCAACCGGCGACCTCGAGGGGCCTGTTTTCCACCACCACCACCACCATAAGTTCGAGGAGGAGGGGGTCCTCCTCCTGAGGAGGGGGTTCTCCTCCTCCTCCTTCTCCTTCTCCTCCTCCTCTTCCTCCTCCTCCTCCTCCTCGTCCTCCTCCTCGTCCTCGTCCTCCACCTCCTTTCCCCCTCCAACTTATGGTTCTGGTGGTGGAAAACAGGCCCATCAGACCTGCGCGAAGCCCTGGAAGATCTGGGTGAATGCGGGGTCGCGCTTCCCGCTGGCGTTGCACGCGTTGGTGGCCTTCACGATTTGCAACACAAGGACCCCATAACCCTCTGGAAGGTGGCCTAAGCCAGGAGGGCCCGAAGAAACATGAGGGATAAAGGGGGGTCTTTTCTGCAGCCGTATCGACTTACACCGCCCAAATGTATCATTCTCACGCCGAGGCGGGGACCTCCGTGAGGCCATGTCTTCACCATGCTATTCGGGTTAGGGGGTCGTTTATCCTCGACGAGCCTTGGCCAGGACCCGGAACGCTGCCTCCAGCTTCCCCCCCTCCAGCAACGCCTCGGCCTCTGTGGACGCCCGAAGCGGGTACGGAAAACAGGGGCACCGCTTCCAACATCAATGGTTGCTGTCCAAAACCGGCAGCGGCCGCTGTGGGGCAGGCGGCCTCCCGTCTCCAACGGGCACCCTGTGTGGCGGCACTGGCAGCGAGGATCTCTGTTCAAAAGGGACACGAACTGCTGTCGGTCTCTGTGCCCTTCCTTTCCGTATCACAGCGGTCACAACGGTCAAAACGATCACGACAACAACGATGCGATCGTTGTGATCGTCGTTATCGTTGCGGTCGTCGTTATCGTCGTGATCGTTGTGATCGTTACCGTTGTTATCGCTGATCGTGGACGTTGGTGTCGTTGCGATCGCTGACGTTGCTCGTTGCTCTCGTTGCCATCGCTATCGCCGTCGGTGCCCCGACCGCCCCGAGCCTTGGCCAGCTGCTTGCCAACCTGCGCGACCAGCACGTCCGAGGCGTCCAGGTCGTCCGCCCACTCCCCGCCCGCGCTGCGCGCCCCGAGGCACTCCGGCCTCCTTTTGATCGGCTGCACGAAAGGAGTGACCTCTGGTGCGCGGCTTTTGGGGGGCCCGCGGGGGGGCCAAACTCAGGCGCGCAAGACGCTACCATCGCATCGCGTTCTGGTCACACCGGCGAAAGGTCACTCTTACGTTATAGTCGATTCGAGCGGGGACCGACCGTCCCGGCATTCCTCTAGGCCCACCACGATTAGGGTAAGAGTGACCTTTGGTGCGCGGCCTTTGGGGGGCCGCGGGGGGACCAAACCTGGGCGCGCAACCAGCTGCTTCTGCTTCGTTTTCAGCCATCTGGGGACCCAATTGTGCCCGCACCAAAGGTGTCACTCCGGCGAAAGGTCACTCTTACGTGTAGTCGATTCGAGCGGGGACCGACCGTCCCGGCATTCCTCTAGGCCTACCACGACACGCTCTTAAGAACCCAAACGTTTGAGTAGAACAACAACAGTGTTTTTAGTTCTTAGAACATACACACGAACAAGAGAGTCCCTGCCAGAACTGTTCCAAAAACATGTCGTGGAAACCACAAAAGGTTCTTAGAACATTGTTTGGTAGGCCTATAAGCACGCCAGGGCGCTTCGCCACTGCTTGACTCCTGCGACGCGGTGTCCGCGGGTCCATGGGGCACTCGAGCAGCTCCTCCCGGGCCGGACGCCAGGCGGGGCGGGTCCAAGGGGGCCAGGGAGGAGGAGAAGGAGGAGTAGGAGGAGGAGGGGAAAGGAGGAGGAGAAAAAGTGGAGAAGGAGGAGGAAGAGGAGGAGAAGGGTGAAGGGAGAAGGACACACGTTAGTCAAGGGAGGGGGGTAGCCAAGCAGCTCATGTATGGCTGAGTTATCCGGCGCCTCCAGGCACCACAAAGGCGCCCATATGGGCAGAGGAACGCGCCCGGCGGCGGGGCCGAAACCAGCTGCACAGACACACAGACACACAGACACACACAGACACACACACACAGACACACACAGACGCACAGACACAGACACAGACACACACACAGACACACACACACACGCACACACAGACACACGCACACACACAGACACACACACAGCCGCAGCTGTCGTGCAGTCATCGTGCTGACAGATGGAACGTGGATGAAGGGGCCCAGGGACACACAGAGAAATACACGTCAATCCCCAGATTCCCTGCATTGATTTCATTTTTTAGAATTTTCGGTTCCCTCCGCACTTCCCGTATTTTCATATTTTTGTTCTGGGGGTCGACGAGTAATTGTGTCTGTGCTGTTTGTCTTTCTGAGTGGATCCAGGGACCAAGGAGCTTTTCTGGCCACGGCCTCGGCCAAGAAGGGGTTGCCAGACCTAGGACCTAGGACCAGAGACAGATCCCGAAAACTGGAGCCCCTGCTGAGCCCAAAGCGATCCTTACTCCAGCGTCTTGACTGTGACCCCCCCTCTCCCTGACCCCGTCCATCACCAGAGAAGAAAAAAACACCTCCACGACCGCTCACGGGGGCTGGCCGCTCCACCCGCCAAGCTGGCGGCACCCCGTTTCGGGCGCGCCCCCAGAGAGCGTCCCAGAACAAAACGCCACCAGCTCGGAGGGGTGGCCTTTGAGAACGGAGTTCTGTGGAATTCTGGTGGTGGTGTTGGTTGTTTTAGCTCTCATGTTTGGACACCCGGAATGGGTACGGAACAAATGTTCACGATACCCACCAACCAATGTTGACCAACACCGACAACGGCCGCTGTTGGGCGGGCAATCTTCTGTCTCGAATGGGAACTTCCGAGGCGACGCCGACAGCGAGTCCGTATGCAACAATGGTCATGAACTGCGGTCGGTCTTTGTACAGGGAAGCTGGAAAGAGAAGAAATTTGAAATTCATATGAAGTGCCCTCGAGGACGGGTAAAGTCGCATCTGCTTAAAACCATCGGTCGTATCAACTCTTTGGGGCAGCGAGACAGCCGTTGAAGCTAGGCGAAAGCTGGAACAAACGGAAGGCCGCGCCCATACATTGAAGAGAAGATTACGCCACACCTTTACGGCGTGTTGGCTTCTTCGGAACTTCCCTGTACTCATTCGTTCAGTATTCATCCGATAGTCCCGATCACGAAGATGGAGGAGGAGGAGGAGGAGGAAGAGGGGGAGGGGCAGGAGGAGGAGGAGAAGGAGATAAGGGATCTTGTTTACATTGATATTCCCCTGGAGAGTACAACGCCAGGGCTTGCCCACTGCCAACTGGAGGCGCTGCAAGAAAAACGGACTAAGGCGGTGGCCGACGCAAATGACGGCGACCCCAAGAACAAAAGCTCAGTCGGAGTCACTAGACTCCGCCGACTTTGCGTGAGCAGCAATGACAGTTGGGCGGGCCCTAAACCACGGCGCTGCCAAGGCTGGCTGGCATCCCCCCTGGGCATCGGGAGGGGGTCTGTCAGCGGGAGCCGCCTCCCCCGTCACGTTGGAGGGGCATGAGGGCAGACACAACATCGGGTCCAAGGAAGGCGGCTGCCGCTACCTCCTCGCCCATGGAAACCTGAGAGGCTCCTCCCGCGGGCCACGTCCGCCCTCCAGTGTGAGGAGGTGGGGCCGAGGAGGAGCTGGACTGGTGAGGCGGCCCAGGCTCAGCAGCGACCACGACGGTAGGAGTCGAGGTGGACGAGAGGCTGACTTCATCTTGCTGCTGGCTCTGGGAAGGGCCGTGACACTGGGAGGGGCCGTGAGACTCGGGGCCCTCTGCAGGGGGGGGCCTCCAAGTAAACCCCTCCGCGGCGAGGGTGCTTACTCTTACAAATCCTGTACTCCCACCTCTGGGCATTGCTTCCCGCGGGGTGGGCGCATCCTTTTCCCAGTGGCGCGACGGGCCCCAAGGTGGACACAACCTTACACGAAACGCAAACCAAAAGCGGAGAGTCGTCACTGCACTGAACTGATCGCAACCTGAATCCAAGGGCCCCGACATTGTTGAGGCAGTCGGGGGTCTTTCCTGCACATCCAGAGGGGTCGGGGCAGGGTGAAGCTCCATAAATGAAATCCGCTTGCCTCCGCGTCCGAAAGCACACTCTGCACCGCCGATAGGAACGATTCCGCTCCCAATCCTGCTGAAAATTGGGATCGGCGGCCAGCAGCTCTCCCTTCGGTGGTCTAGCCAGCTCGATGCTGCTGAGATCGAGGCGCGGGCGCAGCGGCAGGAGATTGGCGCCCGGGCGGATCGCCGCCTTGGCCGCGCGAGTCTCGCACGAGAGGTCCTCCGGCATCTCGTTGGAAGCAGGAGGGTGACAGGACAGGCCAGTTTCAGCGGCAACGTCGGCCGCATCGTTGCCGCGCTTGTTGGAAATCTGCCGCGGCGCGAAGTAATCGGAGTCATCGACGTGAGCTTTGACCTTGGCCATCGACGCCCACGGAGCGGCCAGAGAATTGAACGTCATTCCTGCGCAGGGCCGCCTGTGAGAGAGCTTCAACTCCCTGGGCCCCCCAAAGGCTCTGACAACACTTAGACAGTCCGAGTGCCCTCGCGAAGGGCCAGCGATGCACTGGGAAGCCGCGCCGAAAGCCCCAAACTCCCCCGCCCGGCTGGTTTGGGGGAAGGGGGCGCACAAGGGGCGATACACAGAAACAAAGAGGGCCCCATTATCAGACAGGGCTGAAACCCCCCAGCTTGCTCGGGATAACTCTTTAATAGTGTGCTTGCGACAACTACCACATGCAAAAATATCGCCCGAAACTTCTGCATCAGTTCAATCGGGGTCAACTTCCCCAAATACAATGATATTGGAGAGAAGCCCCAATCAGACCTAAAGGCTAGGGTGCTATAGGGCAATAGGGCTATTGAGCTATAAAAATATGGGGCTATAGAATTGTAGGGCTATAGGGCTATAGGGTACCCCCAAGCACCCCCGGGCATGGGCACCCGGGCCCCCCCGGGCACCCGGGCACCCGGGCGTGCAACGAAAATCGGCGGCGAACCTAGCCTAACCATATGAATCCGCCAGGACTCCTACAGAGGCAAACTCTGATCGGAGAACAACACCGCCAGTGGCTCGTGGTCGGGGCCGCAGGTCGCCCGGGCGCGGGAAGACGCCCGCGGTGAATAGAGCAGCGCAATCAGCACTCGCAGGGTCGAGGGATCGGGCAGCCTCCTGGATGTTCCTTTTGACCAGATCGTCCTTCAGCACTTGGGCGCTGTGACAAATCACATCCGATGCATGATGGGGTCGGGGGCGGCGCTACGTAATGGGCGCGCTTCAGAGCTCAGTTTGTAGCCGCACGCGATGGCCCGATCGCACGACCAGGTGGCACCGCAGCACAGGCCGCGGATGCAGTCCTTCTCGGGGGCTGCGGAGTTAGACGAGCGGAGGGCCGCCTCCGCGGCGTCGTAGCATGCTCTGGGCTGCATCCCCAAGAAGCGCCCTGACACTCTTTCAAGCTGCCGAAGCACTCCCTCGCGGAGCGCCTTTTGACGAGGGCAGGGGGGCACGTGGTAAGGCTCAATACATCGCAGAAATCGCTGACTAAATCAATGAAAGACCTAATATTCCAACCGATGCGTTCAAGGGGAAGTCTCATGGCCCCGATGGGGCCTCGCACTCTTCGCCAGCTGAATTTCTCTCCTCTCGTCGCTGGCCGGAGCCCTTCGGCCGGAAAACAGCTTCCCAAGACGCGCGAAGGGCGGAAAAAGGGGAGGGGTGCTTGAAAATCCGAACTTGATTACCCCGCGCCTCCATCGAGTAACGCGCAACAGGAAGAACAGCGGCATGCCAACACGGATCCCCTGCCAAGACGAGGGGGGGGGGGGGGCGAGGCTCCTCGCGCCCGCTGAAGGTTTCAAGGCGCGCCCGAGGCCTCGCCGAAGCCCAGCCAACTCGCAGTCCAAGCCCCGTGGACCTCGGAAGCGCACGCGGCCCCAGCAGGGGGGCCAGCGGAAACACATCCTCCTGGAGCGCCGCTGGCCCAGGACTGCACGAGCGCGCTTCAACTGGGCAGCGCGAATCTTGAAAACCTTGAAGCGCTTCTTGGCCTTGACGCCGCGGCCGGCCTGACGCCGAGGCCGCCCTGCCGTGTCGCCCGCGCCTAGGCTCACAACCGTGCTCGTTCCAGAGGTAGAACCGCCGAACCCTTCAATGAGATCCCGAACCTTGGCCCCCACGGTATTCGAAGAGCCGACAGCGAAGGCTTTGTCGATGAACGCAGCGAATGTCATATCGTCGGCGCGTACGGTATGCAGCTGTGCGGCGCCATCGAGAATATCAGCAAGAGCCGTGCGCAGGCTACCCGCGGACTGCAACCCATAATCGTCACTATAGATGTCAATGGGGGGTCCTTGACAGCAGGACCGAGGAGGTCAATGCTGGGAATAATACGCGCCCTGACAAACGAAGTCGCGAACGAGTCGCCCGCGACCACTCCGTGCTGAGGGAAGAACAGCCCCTCCCGTCAAGCACCCAATGCTGACCCAGCGAGGGCCCCGATACATCGCGGCGGCGAGCCTCGAGATCTGGCCTGGGAACCCGAGGAAATCACAACGCCTTTGTAACTGGTTCAAATCTAGCATCTCATAAGAGCTTATACAGATCCCAGAGCGCCGAGCAGGCCGCGCCTGACCGTCGAGAGCCAGCGGCGAATTCTCACTTGACGGATTGGCGCCAGACCACGTCTGCAGCACCTGTGAAAGCACCTGCCGCGAGGCGCGGTCGAGCCAACTCGTTCTCCCACATAACCACCAGAAGACGACGCATCCGACCATGGAGACGGTAAGCCGACGAGAAGAACCCTATTGGCCCCCACCCCCCCGACCGCTTGGGGAAAGAGATATCATGCGAGACCGAACGTGGCGGGGAACGACCGACGCAGCCTCCGTGATGCTGTGCATTGACGTCAGAACGACGAGGGCTCCACCCGACATCGCGGCGTAGTGGCGCATGTGGAATCCATCCACGCGGATTGATGTCCATCTGGGGTAAGACCTGGAGATCCGACGAAAGACTTCTGGCGACCCAATAGGGGGCTGAGCTAGGTGGTCCGACTCTCCACCTCCAAGACAGACAGATCTTGACCGAGGAAACTTCGATTCCGCGTCTGGCGCAAGTGGGGAAGAGGGAAAAACCGAAGCGGGGGCTCGCGTCCAGGCCGCCAGAGGCGGCTGACGCGATAGGCGGCTCCGACTGCAGGAGCGACTGGGGATCGGACAGCACCAACCCACCGGCCGAGAGGGCGGCGGCGGGCTTCCAAGGCCCAATGTCACGGGCCCACCACTGGGCCGCGCGGGCGCCCGAGACCCCCTCGAGAAGCCGAGCCCTCCAACTCGCATCCGCCGCCGCCTTTTCCACGCCCGAGAAAGCTCCGGGGAAAACAAGGACCTGCTCGAGCAGGTCAGCGCCGATCGAAACCAGCGGATTGTCAGAGGCCCCAGGCTGCTCGCGGGAGCGGGCGCAAGGTGCGCGAGAGGGGGGGGGGAAAGGGGGGGGGGGGGGACGATGAAACTTCGGGCGACGGCTCGGACCTGCGAGCACAAGTCCAAACGCTCGCCGAGGTTGTCGGAGATGATTAACGGAGGACCCATCAAGAAACTAGCCGAGTGCAACGCTGACCCTCGCTGCTCGCCATGCCGAAAAGCTCTGGCTAGAAGGATGCGGAAGGTGCTCTCCGAACACTTGACACTGCATGGGCCTGGTTGTCTAGCCACCCTACTGTCTCCGTCGAGGATCGATGTCAAGCAAATTTTGGGAGGCGGCCTCTGGCCCCAAATCAAGCGAGGAACACTGGCGGTCCGCGGCGACCTCCAACTCCACTTGGTCAGCCCAAAGCCGATGGAGGCGGTCGAGGTGCTTCTGAATGGCGCCCCAGAGTGGCCCCTTGTCTGACCAAGCCTGAGCCAAACTGAGCGCACTCAAATTCCGCGCCCCAGCGCGGCGGCTCGGGCGCAGGACCGACGGCGCAAACGACGCGGAGGGGGGCGGCTTTACAAACCACGGCCTGAAGCTGCGCGAGCCGACGAAAGAATCTGAAACGCACTGGCTTGCGCGGCCGAGCCGCCGCCCCCGAGGAACCGAGGTGCTCTGAGTGGCCTTGGACTGGCAGACCGAAACCAGGAAGTAGTCGGGCTCGCGAACTTCCTGCGTAAAAGTGCCAGTGCACGTGCCAGAAGCGCCAAGAACAACTAGGTTGGCAGACAGGATGCTGGCAAGCCCCGGCGATGCCAGCTTTTCGGGCTCCATCTGAAAGTCCGCTCCGAGAACGCACGGCACCTGGTAGGAAGAGTGCAGAGCGCCCATGGGGGGCAGAATGCCTAAGTTGTGCCCCGAGAGGCTCTCCGAAGCTTCGAGGCAGCCGCTGACGGCCAAGAATTCCACGCCCCCTTATAACCTGAACGACAGCCGCAATGACTCTGCACGGGGCCGCGCAAGTGCCGGGAGCGATATCATGCAATCCGAGGGCGTCTCTAGCCGGGATAGCAACACCACCGGAAGAGCCCTGGCCCTCTCCCCTGGAGGCTGGGAGAAATCGTGATTTCCACCCTCGTCTACCGGCCCGCTGCGGTGCCTCGCCCACCAGGACGTCGTTGACCAGGTGAGTCTCCTGAGCCAAACCAACGTGAGCAGAAGTCCTGGATGGCCAGGTCTTCGCGCTGCCCCAGCCACTGCAACTTGCGGTCTCTAAACAAACTTCAAAACTGCCAGGGCAAACTGGGGTCCATAATCCCGCGCAACAGTACATGGAGAGATAGCGGGGGAGAAACCACCCCTCAAACAGTTATCACTGGAAATGACCCCCCTCGCCGCGTGCCGGTGCTGGTAGCGAAGGGGGTCCAGGAACTGTCCACTTTGGCAGCGTGGGCCGCCGAGACGGCGCGGGCCCGCTCGCGAACGTCGGCGGCTGGGCCGACGGGGCCAGCGGCAGCATCAGCAAGTGCTTGCCCCAGATGGTCGCACGCGCATCCGCCGTTGTCGTGCCCAGGCCCGCCACCACCTTCACCGCCTTGCGGGCTGGCGATCCTGACGCGGCGGCTGCTGACTCCCCATCCCGTCATCCGACCTCCCGCTTCTTGGCGAGGCGCTGGACATGAGCTGCGTGTTCGGCCTCGATCTTGTCGATGGAGGCCGCCAAGCTGGCGAACATATCCTTGGCGAGGGTAGACAAACCAGCCTGGAACTCCGTGCGCCGCTTGTCGAGCTCCTCCCGATCCGCGGGGGGCGGCGCGCAGTCGGTGTCGTCCAGGGCGAAGAGCTCGTCGAAATCGGCGATAGCGAAGAGCGCGCCTGGTTTCCCTTCACCGCGTCACGGATGCCGATGCCAGCGCGCACGACAGGAGGAGAAGCGCTCGCATCAGGCTGGATGGCCGCCTTGCTGAGCTCCGCCAGGGCGTCGGCTGCAGCGGTGGTGCACTGCCCGTGACACGTCCGAGCCTTCTCCAGGTTGTCGAGCTCCTTGTTGAGGCGCCTTTCCAGGATGCGGGCATGCTGCAACGTCTCGTTGGCCTGATGCCCGGGGGGATTTTCAAGGGGGCCCTTGTCCGCGTCGACATTCTGCTTCTTCCACACCAGGTACTGAGACTTAGCACGATCATCACCGAACATTGTGGCCATGATGTCTGGCAGCATGGAACCACCACCCAGGAAGGCGTGGACCTTGCCACCTCCACGCTGCCAGCCACTCTTGCTCCCGTCGCCCGTGCCGCCGTCGCCGCCCGTGTCGACGACCTCGAAGCGTGGGCGGCGGCAGTGCTTGCACCATGTGAACCAGCTGAGGTTCGTGGCGCACCCTCAGTCCGTGTGAGCGCAGTTCCATTTGGGGTCAGCTCCGAACGCGTCTCGTCGCTGCCCCACGTAGTTCTTCCAAGACCACGCGGTGCCACCTGCCATGGCTCCATCGTGCTCTGAGGGCCGAGACCGAAAGGGAAACCGAGGCAGTGTGGCTCGCGTTCACCCAGCAGTTCTGAAAAGATGCCGGTGGCAACCACAACAACTTGTGCCAAAACGGCTGAGAAGGAGAGGAAAGAGGAATATGAGGATAAGGCGGAGGCGGAGGAGGCGGGAGGGGGGGAGGACGAGGAGGATGAGGAGGAGGAGGAGGACGAGGAGGGGCCATAAAAGGGAGGTGGTGGAGGAAGAGGAGGAAGAGGACGAGGAGGATGAAGAGGAGGAAAAGGAGGAGGACGAGGACGAGGAGGAGGAGGACGAGGAGGAGGTGGTGACGGAAGAGGAAGTGGCGACGGAAGGGGAGGAGGAGGAGGAGGAGGAGGGGGAGGAGGAGGAGGAGGAGGAGGAGGAGGAGGGGCCATAAAAGGGAGGAGGTGGTGGAGGAAGAGGAGGTAGAGGACGAGGAGGAAGAAGACTAGAGGAGAGGAGGAAAAACGAGGACGAGGACGAGGAGGAGGAGGAGGAGGTGGTGACGGAGGAGGAAGTGGCGACGGAAGAGAGGAGGAGGAGGGAGGAGGAGGAGGAGGAGGAGGAGGAGGAGGAGGAGGAGGAGGAGGAGGAGGAGGAGGAGGAGGAGGAGGAGGAGGAGGAGGAGGAGGAGGAGGGGGACGAGGGGGAGGAGGAGGAAGAGTGGACGAAAAGGAGGAAGAAGAGGAGGAAGAAGAGGAAGAGGAGGAGGAGGGGGACGAAAACGAGGACGAAGAGGATGAGGAGAAGGAGGGAGAACATCCTCCCCAACGGACACGTCGCGCACCGCCCGGAAGCACAACTGGTGGCCCACGAAGCTGCGCACCAGGTTGGGCCTCAACGCGCGGCCCAGCAGCGAGGCCAGAGGCCAAAGCCCATGAACCGGCGCCGCGTCGCTGGCCCCTTCCCATGGGGGAGGCGGCAATGATGGGAACAATTTCCAGCACCATATGTTGGTCGGTGGAAAAAGGAGGATAAGGAGGTCCTCCTCCTCCATTTCCTCCTCTTCCTCCTCCTCCTCTTCTTGCCCTTCCTTCCGCCACCTCATCCTGATCCTATTCCTCCTTTTCCTCCTCCTCCTCCTCCTCCTCTTCCTCTTCCCTTTCCTACATATGGTAGTGGTGTGGAACACGGGCCCATCAGGCGAAGCAGCGATGGTTAGTATCGATAACAACGACACCAACGCTGCTGTCGCTATCGCTATCGGTATCGTTATTATCGGTGTCAATGTGATCGTAATCGTTGTTGCCGTCGTTACCATGTGATCGTTGACGTCGTGCTGATCGTTGATCGTTGTTGTCGTCGTTACCGTGTGATCGTTGTCGTTATTGGTGTTACCGCTAACGTTGTCGTTGTTATCGTTGTCGTGACCGTTGGTAACTTATACGCCACGCCCCGGACCTGTCCCGCGGAGTGCGATTTGACCCGAGTGTCGAGTCTCCAGGCACTTGGCCACATGTCAAGCCCCCACCCCCCCACGAATTCTCAAAAGGGGGGCTTGGGATAAGCTCTTGACATGTTTGAGCAATGACCGACCGTCCCGGCATTACTACAAACCTACCACGACGTGCTCCTAGATAACCCACCTGTAGTTTTAATGACAAAAACAGTGTGCTTAAACGATAAGCCAGTTGCAGCTTCATTGCAACAAGACAGCCTCAGCCAGAAATGTTCTCATAACGTTGCGCGCAAACCACACAATCGGGGGCGCGCGGTCGCGGGAGATGCCCTCCCAAAAACGCGGCCGGTGCCGCCTCATTCGGCGGCGGAAATCCGCGGCTGCCCATGAAAACGGGCCCCGTCGCTAATCCACGCCCCCTTGATCCATGTTTGCGATCGCCTGATAAAAGGTTGTTAGAACATTCTCTGGCGGGCCTGGAAGGCAAGCCAGGCGCTTCGCCACCGCTAGACTCGTGGCCACGGACGAGGAGACTCCACCCCTGGCGGCCGGACCTCCACGACCAGCCGGTGCAGCTAGAACGAGAAGAATCGATTGACCCAGTGTGTGATTGATGCGTTCCGGAATTCCAGGATTTCTAACTGCCTTCGCGCGAGGGAGCACTTTTTGTTTCGAATGCGTTGCCTACTCTGCCATGCGCCGATGGTCGGTCACCCATTCCCCATCGAGTAATCGCCCGTAGAGGGCGATTTGGCACTTGCTGATTCCCCTTCTCGTTGCCGAGCGGGGGGGGGGGACGGTGGCGCACCGCCCCGTGGCTCGCCACCGCGCGCTGCACGCCCCAGCGGAATTCCAAAGACTTGGTAAGGCAAATCGCGCGCGACACTCCAGAATTCTCCGAAGGTGAATTTGAAAAATCCAGGAATCTTCATGAACATGTCGGGCGTACTTTTGGAATCCTGGAATCGATTCTGAAACAAATCCGGAGTCAATTTTACAGCCAATTTGCGGAGTTCCGAATTCTTCAGATGTCCTGCGCGGCGGGCGCAGTCCACCCCTCAAAACTCTTTCTCCTAAAATTTCGGGATTCTTTTTTTGAGAAATTCCGGAACCGCTTTTGCCAAAAAACGGCCGCCCTTTTCTGGAATCTGGAAGCGTTCTACAATCCATGTCCAGGCGGTCTGACGGGCGCAACCGGCTGATTCACGCACTGCGCCGCGTGCCATGGGGCGCAGCGCGCGCCGCGCCCTGCGCCCGCGAACGGCACTCGAAGGGCTCACCTCGAAAATCGCGCCACGGCAGCTGCGACTCGCGGATTCCCCAAACAACAAAACAGGATGCAGCTTGAAATCTGGGAGGGCGCTCCGATGCGCGAAAACGCACCGCGCACATCACGCAAAGAACCTGCGCGACGGAATGCGTTCGACCATTCGACCCCGGAACCCACGTGGAAGGACAGGAAAACCTGGAACTCTTGAAAACTAGCAATATCAATACTTCATGCTCCTCTGAGCAGCGGCGCGCCCTTGGCTTAGGTCGGGCACGTCCTCCTACAGGCGGATTTTGGCAGACAACTGATCAAAACATGGACAAACATATTCACAAACACCAGAAACATCGCCCCTGGACTATACGTTTGACAATCTATGGCTGTTACTCCTGTAGAGGGACATGTGTTGACCCTTGGCTGCTGGAGCGCCCCGGCCCGCCGGACTACTTCGGAATTAGTTCTCGCCTCCTCTGGAGGCCGCGCTTTTCTTTGGTCTCCCCCTCCCTTCCCTCCTCCCTCTCTGTGCCCCCCTGCGCCACTGGGCTTCGCTGGACGGTAAAAGTATTAATCCTTGGCGCCCCTATCCCAAAAGGTACCGATACCGCTACTCCCCGGACCTGTCCGGGGGTGCGTTCTGAGTTCGAGGCGAATCCAGCGGTGGCAAGGAGACCTCCCAGGAGGCCCAAACATGGGAAAACGGGCCAAGGGTAGAGGTATGGGTACCTTTCCCTCCTCCGAGTGTTAACCCTTGGCGCCCCTGACCTCCCGCGACGCCCTGCCCGTCGCACGGCGGCGGCTCCAGCTCGCGCGCGAGCGCCTGCGCGAGCCGCTCGGCCTCGGCCGCCGCCAGCGGCGCCGGCCCCCCCGAGGGGCCGCCCGCGGCCTCGGCGCCGAGCAGGGCGCGCAGGGCGCGCAGGGTGCCCTGCTCGCCCCCCTGCCCGCACCTCGAGGGGGCCTCCCAGATGGGGGTCCGAGCACACTCGGCCCAGATTAGTAATTGATAGGGGAGGAAAAAGTGGCATGAGCAGAAAAACTCGGAGGTCCGCGCGGATTTCTCGGATCCGCGCTGGACCCCCCCTCCCTGGCGCGCGGAGCGCGCCAGCGGCCAGGGGCGGCGCCGGAGGCGCCGCCAGGGGGGTCCAGCGCGGATCCGAGAAATCCGCGCGGACCTCCGAGTTTTTTCTGTTTATGCAAGTAAATCGACCCTGCCAAATCAAGGGTACCCTTGTGGCCTGAGTCTCGCGATCCATGTTCCCACACTCCTGTGGCAGTGTGGCCCTCGGAAGGATCTTGTGTCCTTTCGCGTGTCCTGTCCAATCGAGTCCGACTGTACAGCGGGGGCCAGTGCACAAGAAGCCCTCCACAAAAAAACCCAACCCCGAGACCCCCGGACGTCCACTGATGTTTGGCGTGGGAGCGCCACATTTTTCATAGCAAAGCCATCGAAGGCCAAGACACCCAGGGCACCCTGGAGGCAAGCGGGGTGTTTCTTGGCATGGGCCTCCACTGTAAGGACCACATCCCAGCAACCAGAAAAGGTATAGAAAGAGTGTCCAACGAACCTCGCCTCCCAGGGCACGACACGTGAAGGCCCTCGAATTTCGGTATTTTCTCGGTGTTCGAAATTATGTCTGGTGGTCAAGGCGAAAATAGGTCGGAACATCATAATCCGAGTAGATGGGGTCAGAGGATCGCGCCGCATCACCGATGCGTCAGCGATGCGGCTCGATGGCTTTCGCCACGCCGACGTCGCCGATGCATCGCAAAAGGTCCCCTAATACATCGACCGTGCATCGGCGATGCGGTGCGATCCTGCGACCTAATCTACTCCGACCCCATCTGGGAATGAAATATGCCGAGACTTGGGTTGAACGCAGAGGGCACTCTGCCCTGAGATCTGAGCGTCTCAATCTTTTCCTGGGGAAGTTTAGCCTTCAGTCGGGCTCCGGGACCCTCACATATGGATTTGGCTCGAACGATGACGCAGACAGATGGGGTCTAGGGCTCTGGGCGTGAATCATACGATGTTGCATTTTTCGTTACGTCGGATCTCAGGGTAGCACTATAATTCACCCTTGGAGGCGCACGCTCAAACCGAATCCCACCAGCCCTTCAGGGCCTGAGTGGTTTAGAGAGTTGCCTCTTCCAACCCCCTTTCTGCCACTTCGGGGAGGGTTATCTCAAGCCCATATTGAAACAACACCCCCTGAACACCCCCTCCCTCAGGCGATCGGCAGCCAACCAGCATCAATGACCCCACCACCATCCCTGTCAACAAAAATATGTTGAAGCCCACTTTGTGGCAACATCTTGGGTCATGCTCGGGGTGGGCGCGAGCACTGTGTACAGGGACGGCGGGGATGCCCGCATATTGCTTGTTGAGCGCAGGGCCAACATCCCTGTCAAAAGCAATACCACATGCACTTCGACGCAAAATCTGATCATGCGCGGCACCCCCGCGATAACTGTGCATTTCTTCTAGGCTGGGACACCACGCGTCCCGGCACGCTTGGGCCACCGGGTTGCCTGGCGCACCTGGCGCGCGTGGGGCGCCTGGCACGCATGGTGCACCTCGCCCCCGCGTTGCGCACACGGGGTCTGTTTTGGTTCCCATTAGCTCTCCATTCAAAGACTACCGATGAAAACGCTGCGGCTCGGGTGCTAAGCATGTGCTAAGAAGGCGGGTGGGAGTGCGCGAGAAGGGTTGCGGGCGGGGAGGGTGTCTTGACCCTGCCCGTACCCACTCCCTTCAGAACTGGTGTGGAGGGGGCGCGAGGGGTAGAGCATCCAAAACGGCCTCGGCGAGGACGCCCGACTCATTGATGCGACCATGGTTTTGGCCACATGTTTGGCCTCCTGGGGGGGGGGGGGGGGGGCGTTATTGAGCGTGGCCCGTCATTCGTCGATCTTCTCCAAGGTCTTAAGATGGTCCCAGAGGCCCCCAAGGGCCCCCAAGATGCCCCCAGAACGCTCCCCAGATCCCCCCAAGAGACCCCCAGGAAGCCCCAAAAGGCCTCCCGAGAAGCACTCATGACGCCCCCAAGAAGCATCGGCAAGAAGGCCACAATCATGGACATTACCCAGGATTTGGTTACATGTTGGCCTCCTGGGGGGCCCAAATTAAGGAGCCCCCTTCCTTTGATCGATCTTCTTCAACATAGCCCCAAGATGGCCCCCGAGGCTCCCAAGGATGTCCCAAGATTGCCCCAACAGGTGCCCAGGAGGGGTCAAGAGGCCCTCAAAGGCCCTCTAGATGTCCTCGACCCAGAAGGCCCCAAGAGCCCACCCCCGGAGGCACCCAAAACCACACAAGACGCCCCAAGAGGCCTTGGCGAGATGGACGCATCCGTTGACTTTACAACACATTTCGGCCACACGTTGGCCTCCCAGGGAGAGGGGGGGGCCAAAAGGCTCCAAAGAGACCCCCGAAAAGGGCACCCAAGACGCCCCAAGAGGCCCAAAGAGCCCCGCATGACGCGCCGAAATGACATTTGTGCTGGTCGCCTTCCTCCGTTTCCTCCTCCTCCTCTTCCTCATTCGCCGGCTCCTCCTCCTCCCATCATCCCTCAACCCTCACCCCTGGTCCTTCCCGTGTTCCTTTTCCTCCTCATCCTCCTCTTCCTCCTCTTCCTCCTCTTCCTCCTCCTCCTCTTCCTCCTCCTCCTCCTCCTCTTCCCCTTCCATCATCCCTCTCCTGGGGAACGGCGTTTTGCCCAGCCGGATTTCTGTTCATGCCATTGCAGTCTCATCCACATCCCGGATCGGGGCAACTCGTCTGGGCATGGTTCCTGGATGGGCTGCTGGGGTTACTCTTGGCACGCGGGCGCGCCAAGCGGGTCGAGCGCCGTGCAAGCAGGGGAATGCTGCGCCACCAACTACAGGAAAAAACAAAGCTAGCAACGCCACGCACAGAGCGGGACGGAGCTCATCGCGGCATAAATGGCGCGGCCGGCATCACGAAACGACACTTGGAACACGTCCATGCAGGTGCCGAACTGGATGCAGATGCGCCGGAAGAGCGACCCCACGGCGACGATGGATGGAAACCCAGGCGCCACGCTTACCCAGGAAGGCGGTGACCAGGAGAGATGGTGGGGTTACGCGAAGCGTGTAAAATGTGCAAACAGATTATATAATATCGTTGCCAACTCAATGTGGCCCGGGAACGCCCGACGCCGAGCACGTGCCACGAGATGCCCCCGAGCGTGCGCGTCGACCCGGGGGAGCCGACCTGCACGTAATACGGGGTGTCGTCCATTGGGGGTGAGGCCGATGCCCACTAGAGAGATCCGTCGTCGTCGTCGTCGTCGTCGTCAACGTCTCCCCCCTGCCATCCTCCTCCTCCTCCTCCTCCTCCTCCTCCCCCTCCTGCTCCTCCTCCTCCTCGTCCTTCGAATTCGACCCTCTGTCCGATGATGCTCTGAACTCGCCAAAACCACGGCATCTAGCTCAGTCGGCACGCCTGCTGTCTGCGAGGGGGGCCACCAACACGTGCGCGCCGACAAAGCCCGACACGCAGCGGCCCCAAGGAGACGGCCCCCAGGACCCACGGCAGCCACAGAGGGAGGCCCCCCTCGAGCAGTTCCGTGGCCCCCCAGGGGGTCCGCAGAGCCGCCCGCAGACCACGGGCCCGAGCGGGCCTGGGCCCATTTACCTCTCAGACCCTTAGCAAGAGCACCCCGCGGGGCACGACTTTCTTGGCGCCGCCCCATGGCCGAAAGATGCGTGCAACTACCCCAGTCAGATCTACTAGCTTATACTTGACAGCCACTGGGATCAAAAGTGGATTGCGCTGCGAAGTTCTCTCCCACGACTCATCTGTGGGCGCCCCCCCACCACCACGCCTGGGCCTGCATATCGTTTAGCTCCTTGGCGGCCTCGGCCCCCTTGGCCACGGGAATGCGCCCGCGCAAACCTATCGCGCACGTCGTCGCCTTGGAGTCGAACGCGGGGGCGAACCCGAACTCGTGGATCCGCATCGAAGCTTCCTCTGGACCCCCCTTCGACATCACGTTGAGAATCATTTGTTCCCGATCCCCTGATATTTTGCGAACCTCGAGCGGGCAGTCGGCCCGATTCAAAAAGTTACCGATCTCTGGCAGCACGCCCCCGAAGACCAGAGCCTCTGGCGGCCCGCGATCGCGGTCCTTGCCCGCGGCCTCGACCTTCGCGGCCTCGGCCTTCACTAGGAGTTGCTTGTAGCTCTTGGTCCCTGGGTCGACCAGAACGCGTTCTTTCGGTGGGAAAACTTGAACTGCGCTGGCATGCTCCAGCGCGCGTGCGCGGCTCACTCCCTCATCCCCGCATCGTTGCCCCCCTCCTTCTCGGGGTTCTTCTGCCCCCGTCCATTCCCGCGCTCTGCCCCGAGATCGGGCGCCGCATGCCCTTCTGGCATCCTCTGAGGGCTCGAAAGGGCACGGCGCGAAATAATCGAGCTCGTGCTCGCGGAGGTGCTGCTGTAGATGGGCGCCGAGTATGTTACGTCTCAGAATAACTGGACCCCCGAGCCCGAATCGAAGAGGCGGCGCTCCGAGCGCCCAAGATCCATGGGCACTCCAGTGATCATGGCGTTGGACATGTGCTTCTGCGCCTGGGCATACGACGAAAAAGCACGTCCCGCATAAAACGCATTGGTTACTCGAGCATGCAAGCCTGCCGAGTATGTGTGCTCCGTGCTCGCCTCCCCGCGCGCGCGAAATGCGACGTGGGCGCCGCTGTGGCGTCGGGGGTGCGCCGCGTAGACACATTCTCCAACGAAGCCCCTCAACTGCACTGCCCATCTCCCCCTTGTCGTTGCCTTCGTCGTCGTGCGTGCGTCTGTCCGTCTGTCCGCCAGTGTGACCTTAGGCCCTGAACATGTCTTTACGAACGCCCCCCTCCCTTCTGTCAAGGCCCTCATCGGACTCATGCCATATTCTGCTGGAACTACGAGCCCGCCATCAACGCATTCGAAAGCTGCCGGGCCCTGATGCCACTGACGAGCTCAAGGGTGGCACGTGGCAGTGGCACTCCCGAGCGCACGTGGCCGCATAACCTCGTGCTCTCCAAGCTGAGCCTGAAACTCCCCGAAGACGACCGCCGAAATCTGCGCGCCCCCTGGAGAGTGCTTGACGAGACTCTGAAGCCATGCAAGGCGTCGTACATTACACTCTGTAAAGACTGATGCGATATTGAACTTAGCCAAGACAGAAGCATTGTCTAAACTTCGAGCTTGACCGTCTCCAGTCATGGTCGCCACGCCTCGCGATGCCACCCGACCACGCCGGGCGAGACCACTTTTCAGCGAAGCGGGATCAGCGTCGCGGAGTTGAGCATATAACTCTTGAAAATACTCGGGCGCCGCTTAAATTTGACGCGACTTGTCCGAAATTCCCCCGTCCTCGCCCAAGCTGCTTTGCCCGAAATCAATCTGAACTTCACCTCGCCCCCGCTGCGAATCGCGCAGACAAGCGGGCGCCCAGATACCTAGCGCGCGCGCGTTCGACCAGGGAGAATGCTCGGCCGAAGTTGCATCTGCTCATTTTGGTCAGCCCCCCGCCCGCAACATATAGCGAGTGACTCTCGCGCGTCAACATTCTGGGTGGGGCCCAGGGGGCCTGGAATTTCGGCAACTCTGATTTTGTTCCGCACTGAAAACAACCCCTCTTCCGCGCTCGGGGGCGGCGCGGCGTCGGCCTAGCCGTCGACGAATAGCGCGACAGCTGCCTGCTCGACTTCGCGCGGGGCAAACGGACTGCAAGCGCAGATCCAATGCGCGGGGCGCGCTTCGAACGACTGTCGGAGACGCAGAATGTGCGCCATAGCGAAAAGATGCCCCATGCTAGGGCCCCTTGGCACACGCTCTTCCCCCCATCGCGAACGCCGCCTCCTCCCCCTCGCCCCCAGTGAAAAAAAGGCCGTGCATGATCCCGTCAAGCATGGTCGCAACATCGCCAAGGCGAAGAACTCTAAGCACCGCCCGGTTCAAACACTTCGTGGAAATCGAGACGAACGCGCGCGCGGCGCCGTTGAACCGTCGAAGACCCCCAACACAAATCAGCCTCCATGCGGGGCAAGTTTGCACAGTGATGGCACCCTCCCTCCGCCGCCACTGCAGCGCTCCGCACGCCCGAGCCGGCGCCTGAACCTTGGGGGAGCGCATCAGCACTCCTCTGCAGAAAATTCTGCCGAGCGGGAAGACCACCATCACCGCCCTCTCCCCTGGCGGCCCCTCCGCATCGTTGGATTTGACTACGCGTGCTGCCGCTGCGCGTGGCCAGCGAGCGCAGCCGCGATCGCTGCAATGAGCGGACGCACGGCAAAATCAGCTTGACGAACTTAAGTATGCGGCGACAGGAGGTCCGCTGTCTCTGGAACGCGGCCGATGCCGCGGCGAACCTCCCCCACGCGCGGATTGGCCCATTTGGGGGAAGAAGCCAATTCGGGGAAACTCGATGGGGCAGCTCCAGGGCGGGTTAGATTCCCAGAGTGTCGCTTTCCAAAATGCACTCTTCAGACGCATGAGATCCCCCTCTACCTCCGCGGCTTCGACGGCCAGCGGGGCCGTGCGATCGAGCGCTCGCTCGTAAACAAACTGCTGAATCGTCGTCTCGCCTGCAGAACAGCCTCCTTCGGGGCCTGCGCGCGTCGTCTTCCCCCCCCGCTCCAGCCTCGTTCCCTCCGTCCGTAACAGGGCATGCGCTCTCCCCCCCCGCCCCCATCCAAGCTCGCGCCGCAAGCTTCGCCAATCGATGAATGAATGCTGCGAGCATCGCGCCGCCCGGCAGCTTCTTGAAACGCTTCGCGCCTGTGCGTGTCGGACCTGATCCCAATAAGCTGCGCGCCGTGCTCTCATCCGCCTGCTAACCTTCCTCAATTCCACGGAGTGCCTGATTTCCTCCCCCACGACGTCCTCCGACTCAACGATGCGCTCAAACTGCTGCCTAACCTGACGACGCTTGGCAAGCGTGCCCGGCGCCTCCAGGGCACGGCGCGCGTGGCCCACCTGTGTAGAGGGGGGGCGTCGCACAGTAGGCCCCGCCAGCCTCTTGTAGTGCTTGCTTGCATCAGAACACGGTTTGCCGCATCGGCGACGTCTGGAGCGGGGTAAGCAAGTGCGCGCTGATAGTCTCGAGACAAGCGGCGCTCCATGCGCTGCCACAAAAAAATCCGCTACCATCCTCGCTGCAGCATCATGGACAGTGCCTCTCCTGAGAAGCGCGGGGACTTCTGAAGGATATACGGTTCAAAGATCACCTCAAGAGGGACTGCTAATTCAACTGGTCCACGATCCCACAACTTACTCAGGCTATAAGATTGCAGCCTCCACGAGCTACGTGCAAGCGCGCGGCGCCAGCTGACTTCCGAAACCCGCTCGCGGGGCATAACAAAGATGTCGAAAACTTCGGATGTCGAATTGCCATAATACGTGCCCCCCGCGGGCCACATAGTGCTCATGGCGCACAATGAGTGCAACGCTAGCAGAGCCGATAATCCCTCCGTCATTGCATTGAGGTCACCATTGCCGTATGGGCCGACCACATCCTGCATCTGCTGGGGCGGCCCTTTTACATCACTCGTGGTGACTGGTGACCACCGTGCGGAGACCGATTCAAGTATGCAGGAAAGCAAAGAAATCATCGCCGAAACTGTCGTTCTCCACTGCAGTGCCTGAGGTCGCCCTCGGGGTTGAAAGGGGGGGATACATCAATATTATCACTAGTCTGAGCGTGCCCTTCTCGAGCCTGAGTGCACCACATCGGCACCAAAGACGCTTGGGCGTGAACAGCGAAAACTGCGATGTTTGACTGAGGAAGGGGACGCCTCAGGATCCACAAAATTAGACCACAACTTTGATTGCAGTGACTTCCTCGATGCCATCCGAACTCCATGTTCCAGTGATTCTCACAACGCTGCGAGAACTCGATCATCTCTCCTGTCGACCGGCGCTGCGTCCCGATCAGTCCCACCACGTCAAATGTTGACAGGTCTTCGATCACGTCACGGCTCCTCAGCTGGTTCGCGCTCTGGGGGTTGTGCTGTGCGAGCATGATGCCTCGGCGGGCCGTCGACGCTGGAGAAGCAACGAGTGCCATGGCATGTGGCAGGCCGCTGCCGCATCGGATGAAGGCGCCGCGGTGGGGGTCCAGCAAGAAGCAAATCCCAACCCCCCGATCCAGAACGGCGCCTTTCCTCCTCTTCCTCCACCTCCACCTCCTCCCCCTCCTCCTCCTCCTCCGAGTGGGTTCCACTGATGCCCAGCCGCAGCGACGGAAGGGAAGCGTAATTAAGGAAACCTCCTCGGGCATTCCCATGGTCCGGCTTGAGCCCACTAGGGGTCTTCGGATTGGATCTCCCTTGGCCGCATTGCCCCATCGTCGATTGGGTGCCAATGCGGTGACCTCAGGATCCCGAGTGGCCTGACCGCACCGTCCGTCGCCTCACGGGGTGCGCTCTCACTGGCAGTCCCGGCTTAGTGATATGTGTCGCATCGTGGACCCCCAGAGGTCTAGACCCCTTCCCCGGGCCCCAGACGGCCCCAGGGCCCAGCAAGGTACCCCCGAAGCCGAACACGGCCGAAACTTTCCCGTCGTGACTTGTTTCGCGACGCGAGCATGTTTGCTTACCTTTGTGAGAGTTTTCTTTTTCGGCGTTGAGATATTGGGCGAGAAGGGGGGTCTGGCTCTGGACCTCTGCTGCATGCGACTGTCTGTAGCAGTGCGCCCCACGGGGGAGACCCCAACTTGGTCGAAGCAGGCACCAAAGACATCCAATATGTAATTACTCCATGGGGGGGAGGGGGGAGGGTACGAGGGCCCGCGCCGAACGGCAAAACAATGAATATGAAAACAATCACTTGAGCAGGGACCGACCGTCCTGGCATTCCTGTAGGTCTACCATGAACTTTTCGTAGAAACCACACATGTTCTAATAACAAAAACACAAGGTTCTTAGAACATGAACCCGATGCGTTAAAACAAGACAATCCCAGCCAGGAGTGTTACAAGAACACCTCTTGCAGACCACAGAGGGTTCACATGAGGTTCTTAGAACACCCTTTTGGTAGGCCTATGGGCACGCCAGGACGCTTCGCCACTGCTTGAATCACCTTACCTCCCCACTGGACCTCCGCAGCGCCTCCGCCAGCCCCGCGCCCGAGCGCGCTACCAGCAGCGGGGCGTCCGCGAGTGCCAGCTCGCCGGCGCGCAGCGGCGCGGAGGCCACCAGCCGGCTCCCGCCGCCCGGGCGCGGCTCCACGCGCAGGCCGGGGTGCAGGAAGCGCGACGGCCCGGGGGGGGCCCGGAGGCGCTCCTGGCCCGCAGTGCCCCCTTGGGGGCCTGTCGCGCCACCGTCAGGGACAGAGAGGGACAGACCACGCCAGAAACAGGAACTGCTGGACCGGGGGCGCGCAAGCATGGACGATCCACAGATTTGGCGCGCGGTCGCCGAATCCGTGGGTCGGGGGAGGTGCCCTCCCCAGAATGCGGCCAGTGCCGCCTCGGTCGGCGGCGGAAGCCGGAGGTTTGTCATGGAAACCTGACCCGTCTCCAATCCACGCCCCCTCGATCCACGTCTTTGGAGTTCCGAAACGGTGAGTGACAGACCGTGCGGTGACCTCGAAATCCCCCAAGACCTGACGGTCTTAGGACCCCGGAGGCCCCTGTCGCCCGAGACATCCTCGGAGAACGACTCGAGTCTCAAAACCGTGCGGTGAGCCCGAATCCCCACCGACTCACCGCACGGTGTGGTCACCACCCCGTTTGGGGGCCCCGGAATGTCTGCGATCGCCTGACTGTTGGAGGTCTGGAGCTGGCTTCCCCAAGCGGGCGCCTCTGGCGCCGCCACGGGCGCGCTCTCCGCGGAGACAGCAGAAATGAGGCGGGCCTCTAAGAGTGCACGTTTGTGCCGCGTCTGCTTCGTCGAAGACGTCCGGGGATTCGCTGCTTGCAAGCCAGGGCCATCTTTGATTGCGCCGTGGGGCCCAGCAACGGGCCCGAGGAAGCGAAGTCGAGGAAGAACGCCCGGCATAACTCAACCTGACGAAGTAATCAACCCTGTGCGTCTGCGTGTAGCCCCTGGCCGTGGCCCACGACGACGACGACGACGACGACGACGGCGACGGCGACGATGACGACGGCGGCGGCGACAGCGACGACGAGTATGACAACGACGAGGCCGACGACGACGACGACGCCGGCGGCGGCGACAGCGACGACGACGACGAGACCGACGACGGCGATGAAGACGACAACAAGACCGACGACGTCGACGAGGACGAGACCGGCGACGACGACGACGACGACGACGATACCTACGACTACGACGACGACGACGACGACGACGACGACGGCGACGCCGACGAGGCCGTCGACGAAGACGACGATGACCACGACGACGACGACGACGACGACGACGGACGACGAGACCGACGAAGGCCACGACGACGCGTGGGCTCAATGTGGCGCGGCGGTGCCATGAGCCGTGCGTGTGTGGCCGACGGAGCGTGTGGCGGGCGTGCCGAGACGGAGTCAGCGCTAGCCTGCGATTGCTCCCGTTGGCGGGCCTTGGGTTTACACTTGTCCTCTTCCTTCAGCTCCCCCTCCACCTGCTCTCCCGCTCCTCCTCCTCCTCCTCCTCCTCCTCCTCCTCCTCCTCCTCCTCCTCCTCCTCCCCCTCCTCCTCCTCCTCCACCTCCTCCTCCTCCTCTTCCTCCCTCTTCCTCCTCCTGCACTTCCCTCCTGCTCCTCTTCCTCCTCCTTCTCCTCCGTCTCCACCTTCTCCTCCACATGATCCTCCTCCTCCTCCTCCTCCTCCTCCTCCTCCTCTCCTCCTCCTCCTCCCTCCTCCTCGTCCTCCTGATCCTCCTCTACTCCTCCTCCTGCTCCTCCTCTACTCCTCCCCCAACACTCCTCCCCCTCCTGCTCTTCCCTCCTGCTCCTCCTCCTCTCCTCCTCCTCTCCCTCCTTATTCACCTTTCCTCCACATGATCCTCCTCCTCCTCCTCCTCCTCCTCTCCCTCCCTCTCTTCCTCCTACTCCTCCTACTCCTCCTCCTCTACTCCTCCTCCTGCTCCTCCTCCTCTCCTCCTCCTCCTCCTCCTCCTCCTCCTCCTCCTCCTCTACTCCTCCTCATCCTGCTCCCCCTCCTCCTCTTCCTCCTCCTCATGATTCTCCTCCTCCGCCTCCTCCTCCTCCTCCTCCTCCTCCTCCTGCTCCTCTCCTCTCTCCTCCTCCTCCTCCTCCTCCTCCTCCATCTCCTCCTCCTCCTCTTTCTCCCCCTCCTCCTTCTCCTGCTGTTCCTCCTCCTGCTCGTCCTGCTGATCCTCCTCCTCCTCCTCCAGCTCTCCTACTCCTCCTCTCCTCCTCCTCCTCCTCCTCCTCCTCCTCATTCCCCTTCTCCTCCTCTACTTATCCTCCTGCTTCGCCTCCTCCTCATCCTTCTCCTCCTCCTCCTGCGCCTCCTCCTCATCTTCCTCCTCCAGCTCTCCTCCTCCTCCTCCTACTCCTCCTGCTACTCCTCCTCATCTTCTTCCTCCTCCTCCTCCTCATCATCATCATCACCATCCCAGTCTTCCTCCTCCTCCTCCTCCTTCGCCTCCTCCTACTCCTCCTTTACTCCTCCTCCTCCTCCTGATTTTCCTCCTCCCTCCTCCAGGGTGGGTCCACCGCTCGAACAACCCAGTGGGCCTTGCGGTGAAGGGTGCGCCGAAATGGGGAGGGGCCGCCATGCGGTCGCGCCCACTGGGCCACTGGGTGGCGCACCCTGCTGGCCACGAAACGTATGAGCGGTGTGCCGAAATTGGAACGGCGTCGCCATGCTGTCGCACGCCCACTGAGACCGAAAACTAGGAACACCTTGAAGAGCGCGAAACATGTGAGAGCTGTGCCGTGATAGGCGCGGCGCAGCCCTGTGGTCGTGCCCACTGAGACCGCACGCGGAGTCCCGAGGGGTTCACGAAACTCGTGAAGGTGTGCAGACATGGAGGCGGCGCCACCATGTGGTCGCGCCCACTCAGCCCGTAGGCGGAGCTTCCTATGTGGCCAAGGAACATGTGAGCGGTGCGCCGAACTGAAGGGGCGTTGCCGCCAAAGGTTGCGCCAACTGTGACCGTGGGATTCCTTATGGGGCCACGAAACATGTGAGGGGTGTGACGAATTGAGGGGGCGACGCCGCCATGCGGTCGCGCCCACTGAGACCATAGGTGGAGCTTCCTATCGTTCCACGGAACTTGTGAAAGTCCGCCGAACAAGGCACGCGGAGGCCAAAGGAAGGAGGGATAGGGCAGATGCAGGTGAAACGTACGGCACTACAAATTCAAAACGACGACCCACCACCTACCACCACAGGATGGTTGGGACAACCAATGTATCATCGGAAATCTAGGCTTGAACCCCCCCGTAGACCTTCTGGGCCCCCTGGAAGCCGCGGGGGGGGGGGCTCCTCCGAGATACTGACGCCACCTCCCCTGAGATCCGACTTCACAGACAAAAACCGGCAACATCGTGGAAAACCGCAACGGGGCCCCTGGACAACACCATCCTGCGGCACTTCGCGAGCCAGATCGACCAGTGAGGCTCCACAGGGCCCGAAACCGGGCGGGCGAACACGCCCGGCGAGAGCTCAGCCTGGCGAAAAACCGAACCACGTGCGGCTGCGAGGGCAGAAAGACAGGTGGACACCCAGAGGTAAAGGGCTAGCAGTAGGACTGCGGCGCGCGTGATGGGCCTTTTGTCCACCACCACAACCATACATTGGAGGGGGAGGGATGAGGAGGAGGACGAGGAGGAGGACGAGGAGGAGGAGGAGGACGAAGAGGAGGTGGAGGAGGAGGAGGAGGACCCCCTCCCACTCCAACTTATGGTGGTGGTGGTGGTGGAAAACAGGCCCATCAGTGCGTGGGGAGGACGCAGCGACCCCGCTCACGGGGTCGCAGAGTTCGGCCGTAGAGGGTTGCAGCTGGATGTAGACCGTTGCGGCTCATGTGCGCGTACGTCGACGCGGCCCCACGGGCCAGCATGCGGCAGGGCACTCGGTGGAGCTCCCTTGTGGGGCCACGGAGCGTGTGAGGTGTGCACCGTAGCAGCGTGCACCAGGCATGGGGGCCAAACTTTGTTTGCCTTGGGTGCAGCTTTGGCCACGAAGCGTGTGAAGGGTGCGCCGAAATCGGGGTTGACCAGGCACGCGGACCCAGATTTGAAGCCTTAGATGCTGCTCCCTGTGGAGCCACTAACTATGCGAGGGGTGCGCCGAAATGGCGTGAACCAGGCATGCGGACCTAGATGTGTGGGCCTTAGGTGGAGCTGCCTATGGGGGCACGAGGCGTGTGAGGGGTACGCCGAAATCGATATGCGGAGGGCAGAAGCAGACATGGGAGGATGGCGGAGGAAGGAGTGAGGCGCAGGGCGCTGTCTTCAAAACGAGGAGAGCCCCAAACCACAGGACGGTTGGGATAAATGCGCAGCCCACAGATTACAGACTCCAAGCTATCCGACGATGTGATGTTGTTCCATGCGTGGGCCCATGATGCCCCAAACCCTTCCCCCGTAGGCTGATTGTCGCGCGCTACGCATGTACAGTGTCCCAGTGAGACGAGAACTACTTACTCGTCGACAGAAGTAGCCTGCACATCTGCACGCATACAATTCAGACGCATGTTATCAATGAATGCACTTGCGTGCGTGTGCATGCATATGTGCACACACCTATATATATGTATATATATATAAAAAACATATATCAACGTACTATCTGAATACAGGCATACACATGTGCATGTAACAATCGCACCGTTCGGTCTCCGTGGGATATTTTTCATGTCGGACAATCAACTCATTCGGCGGCGAATTGATAGCAATCGGGATCCCGGGGGGGGTCATCATCTGTTAAACAAGATTCAAGATTGGCACGCGATGCGTATGCCTCTTTTGCTCCTTGAGAGAGGGCGCCGGCAACCGCAAACTGCTCCCTGGGCGCTTCTTTGGGCGCGCTTTGACCAGCGTATCGCAGACACTCCAGCCGTGGCGACGAGGGCTCTCCAGCACGAGCCGCGGCATCGGCACACCCTTGGCTCCTCCGACCTTCCCCGACAGCCCTGCCCGCCCCGCGGCGGCGGCTCGAGGCGCAGCTCCCGCAGCCAGGACCAGCCCGGGGATCTTTGTCTCAGGCATGCTCGGGAGATTCACATCAACCAGAAGGCAACAGGGCTCACGAAAGGAATCTAGCTACTCTGCGGGGAGCAGAACTCTGGACAGCCTTACGCTGCCCAGACGTGAATTTGGGTGACCCAAAAGGGGGTCCAACCTGAAAGGCTGAAAGGGGGTGGTGCAGTAGATTTGGGGCAATTGTATTGCAAATGTGCTGCGCTGGAGAATTGTATTGCATTGTATTGCAAGTCATGTGTTGCACGCGAAGATGCCGCAATACATTGGCGCCCTGGAAATGTATCGCAAGCCCCAAAATTCATGGCAACCCCGCAAATCTCTTGCACCAAATCTATTGCACCACCCCCTTGTGGCTGGACCCTATTTTGGGTCAACCAGAATGCTGGGGCTGCAAGAAGCGGCGGCAATCCCGAAGTCTGACACACTCGATTCTTCCCCAAATGCCCGACCTCGTGACCTTGTCGCAACGCGGACCCCTGGAGATCTCGACCCATTCGCCGGGACCGGCTTCTCATCCTGAATGGCTTTTTTGAGCGAGCGAGGCGGAAGCCTGGCGCGTGAAAGGCTCGGGACGGAGCAGGGCTCTTCTCCGAGACACGTGGACCGCTGACCGCCCCCCCCACTCCGACCTCGCCCCCCGCCCCCGACCTGGCCCTCCCCTCCAGTGGTTCCGATCGTGCTCCCTCTAAGGTTCGGTCGGGCATGACCCCCTACAGGCGCATTCTGAGCGAACAATTAAAACTACGCAAACATGCAAAAACAAAACAAAAAAAAAAAGTAGAAACATCGTCCACATATTATTGCAAACTATTTCTGAATATTCCTCCTGTAGAGGGACAGGCCCGACTAAACTCGAAGGGCCGGCAACGTTTGTGCGCTGTTGTTGTCCCTCGGCTCCGGGGGGTCAGGGCCACGGCACCCCCAGCTGTGACTTTTGCCATTCCCTGGCGCCACCCTGCCGTCGGGCCGCTGCAGCAAGGAAGGGTCAGCGGGCACGCTGCCCCGTTTGGGACTCAGGAGCGCTTGCGTGCACGAGGAGGGTCAATCTCCCGAGCGAAGCGAACCCCACCCTCCCCCTCAGAAATCGTGGGGGGTAGGGGTAGGGTTCGCATGTGGCCAACCAAATGAGGAAGGCCAGTCAGGAACGCAGCCCGGTTTGGGGCCACGGGAGCGCTTGCGTGCACGAGGAGGGTTGAAAGAACAGAATCGGAAGGGCCTCGGGAACAAGGGGTCCCTTCCAAACCCGCAGTCGTCATCATTTCAGCGTCTTAGCTGTAGGGCCAGGATCGCCCCCGGCAGCGCCCGGCGATGGTGGCGGCAGCAGCGCCGTGCCTGGAAGAAGCAGAAACAACAACCCCAGCAGGAGCTTTCGAAGGTCCGCGCCCGTCTTGCGTAGCAGGCGAGGAACTGAGTCAGACATACTGTTCTAGAGGTAGGGGGTCCATCACAGATTCAACAGATCCGCCCGGAACTCCGACAGTTATTGTTCATCGGGAGCGCCTGTCCCAGGGCGGCTGGAAGTATGTACCTCTACGGTGACAGGTGGAGAGTTGAACTTGTCAGCCGCTCTGGGACCCGCGTCCCAGACGGCGGAAACGTAGAACTATGTTATGCCGCGCTTTGCCCGCAAATCATTGGGTCGGCGCCGGCGTGAATCGTGACATGACCAGCCACCTCCCACCGCCCCAACCCCCGGGTCACGCTCGCTACCGCCAAGGAATACAAACATTTGCTCTTTCATCCTCTGATGGGGAACAAATGCAACTACCGATACCGCTACTCCCAGGACCTCTCCCAAGGTGAGTTCTGACAAGAAGTTCACGCCGAATTCAGCCGTGGCGACGAGGGCCTCCCAGGAGGCCCAAAAAGGCAAAAAAGGAGGCAAGGGTAGCGGCGTGAATACCTGTTCATTCTTTTCTAGAGGCCTCCTAGATGGGGTCGGAGTAGATGGGTCGGAGGATCGCGCCGTATCGCCGATACATCGGCGATGCATCGGCGATATATCGGCGATGCATCCACGATGCCTCGGCAACGTCGGCGTGAAGCAAGTCGGGCTCCACATCGAGCCGCATCGCTGATGCACCGGCGATGCGGCGCGATCCCCGACCCCATCTGCTCCGACCCCACCTGGGAGGCCTGGATTCTCCTCCGAGGCCCCCGAGCGCCGCCGCTGGCGCCGCGCAGCAGCGCCACGAGGTCCCAGCCCTGCCCCTCGTCGGGAGTTGCCAGAACTGGGTTTGGTGATGTGTACTGGGGACGCCCCCCCCGCCCCGTTCCACTAACCGGAACTGCCGTCACCCGAAGAGCACCAGCTACAGCAGAGCTGGTTGAGTGATTCTGGCAAGTTCAGGGGATCTGGGGCCCTACTTCTAACCTGGTCCCCTTACCTGGAGTCCTGGCTGGACGGTTTCCTCCAGGGCCGCATCGGGCCGGGCGAAAGGGGGGGACACCAAAGGGGGGGGGTGAGAGAATCAGCTCACGTAGCTGATTTTCTCGGCGCCTCCCGGCGCAGGAGGCGCCCATGTATCGAGGAATGGGCGCGGCGGCGGAGCCGAAACCAGCTGCATGCAGCACATTTCTTAATCCCCCCTTTCCCAATCCCCCCCTTTCGTCCGGCCCGAGTTTAGGGGATCTGGGGCCCTGCTTCGAACCTGGTCCCTTTACCTGGAGTCCTGGCTGGACGGTTTCCCCCAGGGCCGTAGGCGACCCGAGGAGGGGAGGGCGAAGAGGAGGAGGAGGAGGACGAGAAGGAGGAGGAGGAGGAGGAGGAGGAGGAGGAGGAGGAGGAGGGGGAGGAGGCGAAGAAGGAGGAGGAGGAGGAGGAGGAGGAGGAGGAGAAGGAGGAGGAGGAGGAGGAGGAGGAGGAGATGGAGGAGGAGGGGGAGGAGGAGGGGAGGAGGAGGGGGAGGAGGAGGACGGGAGGAGGAGGAGGAGGAGGAGGAGGAGGAGGAGGAGGAGGAGGAAGAGGAGGAGGAGGGGGAGGAGGCGGTGGAGGAGGAGATGGAGGAGGAGGAGGAGGAGGAGGAGGAGGAGGAGGAGGAGGAGGAGATGGAGGGGAGGGGGGGGAGGAGGGGGAGGGGGAGGAGGAAAGAGGAGGACGGGTCGCCTAAGGCCTTCGGAGAAACTTTCCAATCCTGGCCACACCCGACCTCGGGCCAGGCCCGCAGCGGCTCGCAGCCGGGCGGCACCCCTGCGGCCACCGGCGCCGCGGGACCGTGACCCGCGGCCTCTGCCCCGCCCGGCGGCGCCTCCGGCCAGGGTTCCAGCGAGAGTCGAGGGCTCGAAGATCGAGGAGAGAGGATGAGGAGGATGAGGAGGAAGAGGAAGCGGAGAAGGAGGAGGAAAAGGAAAAGGAGGAGGAGGAAGAGGAGGAAGAGGAAGAGCTCGAGGAGGAGGAGGAGGAGTCGAGGAGGAGGAGGAGGAGGTGGAGGGGGAAGAAGAGGCTGGATGTCGCACCGTGTCTGCTTTGAAACTGACGCTGCAGGTCGAGGCCACCAGACATGATTCTTGTGATGCTCCGATCGGGGGGTCCGTGACAGGGCGCCTGCCTGCATCGAGGGGAACAGCCCGGCGGCGGGGCTGACACCGGCTGCACACAGCAGTTCTCGCGCCCCTCATGCACTTTCCCGAACTTCAGGTCGGGCATGTCCTCCTGCAGGTGGATACTGGGTGAAGAATCGGACGTTGGGGGGGTAAGATCGAAGTGGAACGGAGAGCCCCCCCACCGGGAAATCGCGTTCGGTTTCGTGTTCGTGCGTGCCGTGCGTGCGCGCGAGGCGAAACTGCGTGGGCGGGCGATAGGCAAGTCTCCTGTGGCTGAGGCGCGGCCGGACCAAATGATGCTCCGTCCGGCAAGCGGTGGCGCGCGGTGTCCCGCCAGTGTCCCGCCGGTGGCTGGGCCCCAGCCGGAACAAATGATTCTCCCCCCGGCAAGCGGTGGCGCGCGGTGTCCCGCCGGTGTCCCGCCAGTGTCCTGGTGTCCCGCTGGCGCGAAAACGATGGTGAGACCGATGACGAAATCGATTGTGAAATCGATCGTGAGATCGATAGTGAGACCGATAGTGAGATTGATACTGAGATCGATCGTGAGATAAATAGTGATATCGATTGTGATATCGACTGATATCGATCGGGAGATCGTTATTGAGATCGATAGCGAGATCCAGAATGAGATCGACAGTGAAATCGGTTGAATGAGATCGATAGTGAGATCGATCGAGTGAGATCGATAGTGAAATTGATCGAGTGTTCACATGGGCAACAATGATTTGCATCATGTTTATCTGTCGCGGGAATCGTAATGGCGCCGGACGCCCGCACCAGACTTTGCCAGTGTGTCGCAGCTCCGCCTCATCTCGCTGCACACGGCACGCACAAACGCTGCCCGGCGCTCGGGCAATAGGGTGCGCCAAGCTCTGTTGGCGCTTCTGCGAGCCTCCGCGTCCGTCGCCTGTGCCGCGCTGTGAAGCATCCGCCGCCGGCCCGCTCCCGCCGCCTTTACGTTCCGATGCTCGACCGCGCGGTGCCGGAAAAGCAGCAAGCGTGCGCCATCCCCGAAAGGCTCCCATGAGGCTCCCAAGAGTCCCCCAAGAGGCCTCCAAGACCCCCCAAGAGGTCCAAAAGACGCGCCCAAACGACTCCCCAAGCCCTTGCAACATGAACTAAATAAACGGGGGGGAATGATACCAAGGCGCCCAAGAGCGAAGGATGACGTAAACAACTCGACACCAAGGTTCCCAAGAGCGAGCGGCGGCAACGCAACAATCACTACTGTTGCCCATTGCTGGCCCCACTCCCCCCCGGAAGCCCGAATAGACCCTCAAGCGGCTTCCAAGAGGCCACACAAATGCTCCCAAGAGGCCCCCCCAGAGGCCTACGAGCGCGTTCCGACGAGGCCCCGCCAAGCATCCCTGAGGGCTCTGCCCGACGTCAGCGTCGTCGTCACCGCCGACGCCGCCGTCCCTCATTCAGGGTCGGTGGCATCGGCCGCAAGGCCTTCCCATTACGACAAGTCCTTCACGTTGAAAGACGTCCGTGTTAACCGCAAGATCTTGTTGATGGTGCCGACTTCCGAGGCCCCAGACGTCGACGGATATCTGCCTGGACGCCCGAAATAGGAACGACGGAGAAAAGGGTACGATGCCTAACAGCGAATGTTACCCATTACCAACAGCAGCAGCTTTTGGGCAGTCAGGTTTTGTCTCAAGATGACATCGCCTGCGTCGACGCCGACAGCAAATCCTGTTTAAGATGGGTAGGAACTGCTACCGGTCTTCGTCCCAGTGTTTGCCGTATCCATTTCATGTAAAGGCTTCCCAGATGGAGTGCGAGTAGGTGGTGTCGGAGGATCGAGCCGCATCACCGAGGCATCGCCGACGCATCGGCGACGTCGGCGGTGCATCGGCGATGCAGTCGCAGAGGAGATCGGGCTCCACATCGAGCCGCATCGCCGATGCTTCCGATGCAGAACGATCATCCAACCCACTTAACTCTGGCCCCATTCGGGACGCCTGGAACATGGTCTGGAGTCTGGGGGATGTCTGGAATCGACTTTGCCTGTCGGGGCCGTCAAAACAATGACGCGACCCGTTCTGAAATTTGCCCCAACCTCCCGCTGCAAACGTATCATAAAAACTGGACCGTCAAAATTAGTGTTTCTGGTCGGCCCACAAGGGGTACAGCTGAAAGGGGGTGGTGCAATAGATTTCGGGCAAATGTATTGCAAATGTATTGCGCCGGAGAGTTGTATTGCATTGTATTGCGACGAATGCATTGCGCGCGAAAATCGAGCAATACATTTGCGCCCCGGAATATATTGAACACCCCAAATCTACTGCAATCCCACAAACCTATTGCACCAAATCTATTGCACCACCCCCTTGTCGCTGGACCCCACCATGGGTCAACCGGAATGCTGGGGCTGCAAGAAGCGGCGGCAATCCCGAAGTCTGACACACTCGATTCTTCCCCAAATGCCCGACCTCGTGACCTTGTCGCAACGCGGACCCCCTGCAGGGAGATCTCGACCCATTCTCCGGGACTGGCTTCTCATCCTGAATGTTTTCTGACGGCCTGGGGGCCTGGCGAAAGCCCCCAGAGCAGGAGAGCCCAGAATCGAATCGACTAGTTGGATCGGCGATCGAGATGAATCGGATCGGCGGACATCGGCAGCCGAGTCGGGAGAAGACGAATCGGCGGAAGTCGGCAGGCTAGTAGGCCTCCACCCAGGGATCCGATCGGAATCCTCCTCAGGTGGATTCCCTGAAGGAGTCCTCCTCAGGTGGACTCCCTGAGCGGGTCCCGCGCCGGCACGGCAGATCCCGCGAGGAACACCAGCCCCACGTTGTATGGGGCCGGGAGCCCCCGCCGCTTGTGGGCGGACACCAGCGATATGACGAAGGGTTGTCGTCGAGGGTGCTGCCGGCGGCTAGAGGCCTCGCGGCCGCCGCGGTGGCGACACCTCCCCGCCAGGTGCTGCCGCGCTCCCCGCCAGGAGAGCACGGCGGAGGCCGCCCAGGGAGAAGACGGTGCTCTCCGCAGCGGACGCTCTCGGAGCTCGGCTTCGAACGCACGCGGCGGCCGTGCCCGCCCTGGGCGCGTGGCTTATACTGCGACCAGGAGAGATCGAGGGGAGCGCTCCGACGAGGGGGCGGCAGCTTGCCCTCTCTGACTTTTTCGCCGCGGCCGCCCCAGCCGGCGCTGCCAGCGGCGACGGCGCTGCTGGCAGCGCGGCAACCAGGCCTCCTGGGGAGTCCCCGGAGGTGGAGCGCATTACGGTCCAGGTGGCGCCTCCCCTCCCCGAGGCGAGCGCTTCGGAGCTTGCCATGGAGCGGCGCTTCCTCCAGCAATGGGGAGGGTGGAACCCTGCCGCCTCGAGGCCGGCACCGGCAGCGCGAACCAGGCTGCGCAAGCGCTGCCGTTGACGCGGCGGCGGCGGAGCGGCTGCTGGCGCGCTTCCGGGCGCTGCAGCAGCCCGCGGCGGCAGGAGGGCTCCCCGGATCGCACCTCCCTGCTGCCGATGGCGCATCAGGCGCTGCCGACAGCGCGACGGCGGCGGAGCGGCGGACGCTGCCAGCGGGAAGGGCTCCGGGAATGCTGGAGCCAGCGCTCCTCCCTGAAGCCCTCGACGCGGGCGAGTTCGACATCGAGCTCGCGTACGACGCCCTCGGGCATCACCACCCCCTCCCTCCCGGGGCGCCCCTGGTGGAGGTTGAGGAGCCTCCTGGGGCTCCCCGGTCGAGGCGGCGGACGCGGCAAGCGTCCACGAGCCGCACCCCCTCCCTCCCGGGCCGAGCCTGGTGGAGGTGGAGGTCCAAGCGTTCAGGTCTGCCGCGGCGCTGCGGGCTGGCCCCCCTGCCGAGGCGTGCGCTGGCGTGGGGGCGCCGCCCGCCCACCCCCCTCCTGGGCCAGGCCCGGTGGAGGTCGCGCCGGATGGTGCGGAGGCTGCGGAGGCGGCGGCGCGCGTTCACCACATGTCCCTGGTGAGCGCGCTTGTCCGGGCGGGCGGCCGGCCAGCCGAGGAGGACCTGGCGGCGCGGAGAAGCTGGCAGCGCTGCTGCGGGCCCCCACGGGCGGGAAGCGGCGCCAGCTGCAGCGGCGGCTGGATGGGGCGCTGCGCCGCCTTTCGGGCCCAGAGCTCGCCGAGCTCATGGGCCAGATGGCGGCCGGGGTCGCCGCCGCTGGGCGGTGAGCGCGTACCTGCCGGCCGCGGCGCCGCGGCGATGGCCGCCGCGGCGCTCCGGGGCGTGAGCGGGGCTGCGCCGGGCGCAGGCGCCCCCTGCCCTCCCTCCCTCCCTCTCTCCCTCCCTCCCCTCCCGCGCCCTGTCGTTTTCGTCTGTCGTCTGTCGTTTCGTCCGTCGTTCGTCGTGCCACTGGGCTCTTTCGTGCAGTTTGAAAGAAAGTGAGGGCCCTGGGGCCCAAGCAACAGGCGAACAAGCCCAGCTCGCAAAAGCTGACGCCAGGATATCAGGGAAGACGGGAGCACAGAAGTGGAGGAAGAAACAATTGCACAAACACAAACTTGTGGCACTCCACGCGGAATTCTTGTATCTGCCCTGGACCCCCTCCCTTGGGACGCACAAAGACATACTAGTACTATATGTTTTCCTTGAAGGCGCGCGTCAAACCCGAACATATAGTATACCCATATTATAATATATCGTGTCCCGAGCGGTGTGGCCAGAAAACGCCCGCCACAACGCATATACTATAAGATTTCTTGGTGCGCGCGTCGCCCCTGGGGGGCGACGTACATATAGTGTAAGTATGTTGGAGTGACGCCGATCCCTGCGGAGCGCGCCTGGCGCGGCGCCGGAGGCGCCGGCGGGGGGGCCCAGCGCGAATCCAGGAACTCCGCGCCGAGCGTCAAAAGTTTCTGTTTATGCGGATGTTTCTCCTTCGCGGCAGGGCATCCTGAGGATGGCAACTCGAAGACATTGAGACGCTCAGCCTCCTCCTCCCCCTCCCCCTCCTCCTCCTCCTCCTCCTCCTCCTCCTCCTCCTCCTCCTCCTCCTCCTCCTTCCTCCTCCTCCTCCTCCTCCCTCCTCCTCCTCCTCCTCCTCCTCCTCCTCCTCCTCTCCTCCTCTCCTCCCCCCCCCCCTCCTCCCCCTCCCCCCCTCCTTTTCCTCCTTCTCCTCCTTTTCCTCCTCCTCCTCCTCCTCCTCCTCCTCCTCCTCGATGGAGCACGGGAGGGACCCCTGAGGATGGCAGGGTCCGCTGCGGCCTCGCTGGGCGCCCCCGCCGCCGCGGGCGGCTCCGCCGCGCCAGCGGCCTGGTCGGCGCCGCCGGGCGGCGCGCCGACGGGCGCGGAGGCCGCGGGCGCCGCCGCCGGGGCAGCCATGGCGGCTGGCGCGGAGGGGGAAGCTTTGAGTCGGGCGCGTCTCTCAACAGGAGGGAGAGTCAAGGCTAGTGGAAAAAGGCAGCATAGGGGACGACCGTTCTACCAAGTTTGCGAATTTCTGCATCGTTTTGAACTACGTTGCATCTTCCTTCCAGAGTCCGCCTGTAGCAAGACATGCCCGACCTGACGGCAGCTGCAAGGCCCGGGCCCCAGGCCCTCTCGGGCCGCAGACAGCGACACTTCGTCGCGAGGATCCGGGAGGCGTAAGTGACCACCTACCAGACCACCCCAAGCCAACCCGAAGAACCGAATTCTGCCCGCACTTCGGGTTGGGGGGGTACGGGTTCCGCATGTGTTTGTTCGGTGTTCGTCGACCCCTTACTAGAAGTGAAGGGCAAATCGGGGCCTTCGGTTATGCTGCTCCCATCGCACTCAAGGACCACATCTCAGAAATAATTTCGAACACCCGGAAAAGTGCCGAAAGCTTGTCGAAACAGTGTCGGACGGGTGTCTCCCAGGGCTCGGCACGTGAAGACCCTCGAATTTCCGGTACTTCTTTGGTGCTCGAAATTCTTACTGGTGATCGGGCTGGAACACCGTATGCCTTCGGGTTGGGTCGGGGTGGCTTAGTGGGCGGCGAGCAGGTCCAGCTCCGACTTCCTCCTGAGCTTCGGGAAGGTCGTTCGGGAGCCCGCGGGCGCCCCGTTCTCCGCGCGCCTCTGTGCGCCTACGCGTACGGGAAACCCGCATCACAGGGAGACACGAGGAGGATGCAATTGAAACAGAACGCACACAAACAGATAAACTGTTGGCGCTCCGCGCGGACTTCTTGGATCCGCGCTGGGCCCCCCTCCCTGGCGCGCGGAGCGCGCCAGGGGCGGCGCCGGAGGCGCCGCCGGGGGATCCCAGCGCGGATCCAAGAAATCCGCGCGGAGCGCCAAAAGTTTATCTGTTTGTGCGTTTTGGTTCTTCTTCGAAATAGCCCTGGAGGGCCATTTCGAGGCTATTCGAGGGGGGGATCCAGCGGACAGCGGCCAGCAAAAGTGGCCGAGGATGGGCCGAGGAGGCAGGTATGCAACGGTACCCTTGGGAAGGTTGCCCATCCTGACTGTGCGGCTCGACTGTAAGGCCAGCGTCGACTACCTCCTGAACTTTGGTTTGGGGAGGTCGTCGGGCAGTCTGCGGGCACCCCGCTCTCTGTGAGCCACTGTGCGTCTGTGCGCATCGGTGTTCTGTGGCCGGAGCGCGTGAGGAGCCTCTGCGGCCGCCCCCCTGGCGCTCCCCGCTGGGGAGAGGAGGCTGCGGCCGGAGCGGACGCCACTGCTATCGTGGCCCATGTGCCGCCTGGTCGCCCTCGGAGTTGGGCGTGGCTTAGTGGGGGGGTCACAAATGGGGGGGTCAGAAAAGGTCCCCTTCCGTGCCCCTTTCGGGCCCCTCCAGAGCCCCAGGGGGCTCGTTTAGGTACCGTTTGGGTACCTTTTCGAACCACCCTCGCCACCCCCCCATTTATGACCCCCCCCATTACGCGGCGCCCAACGGAGACCTGTCCACAGTGGCGCCGGGAAGGCAGGGAGAAGGACCCAGGCCCTCCCGGGCCGCAGGCGGCGACACGTGGCCGCAAGGATCGGGGAGACGTCAGGCTCGAGCTTGGGAGGCTCGAGCTGGCCTGGCAGGGCCGTCCGGCGGGACCTCTCGGGCCGGGCGAAAGGGGGGGATAGCAAAGGGGGGGTTTGAGAATCAGCTCACGTAGCTGATTTTCCCTGCGCCTCCCGGCGCCGGGAGGCGCCCATGTATGTATCGAGGAATGGGCCCCCCGGTAGGGCCGAAATCACCTGCATGCAGCAAATTTCGTAACCCCCCCTTTCCCAATCCCCCCCTTTCGCCCGGCCCGAGGGTAGGCTCTGCCGCGAACGCCCAAGGCAAGCACCTTACAGAACATGGGCGTCAACACTCATAGTGGGAGCGTCGAGGAGCGTCGGCAACCTCGAATCCTGGCACACACGAGTCTCAAAAATCCCGGAAAGAATGGAGCTCAAGGACACAATAAGCCTTGGAACACGTCGAAATGACACCCAACGCGCTGACCCTCAAACAATCCAGGGATGTACGGGACCCTAGCCAGGCAACTCTTTGCCCCCGCGTAAAGGCCGGCCAGATCCGAAGGATGCACAGCGCCTCTCCGACAACTGCATATCCTTGGCGTCCGTGCTGTCAGAAACAAACATCTGTTTCGCCTCGACCGACCACCACCACAGAACCCGACACGGGACCGCCAAGGAGCACCGCGCTCCTTGGGGCCTGGCGGCCGCGGCGCGGGGTCGTCCATCGTCGGAGACGCGAGGCGGGGTACCCAGGGAACACCAGGACCCTTGGGGCTTGGCGGCCGCGGCATGCAGGCTGTGCGAAGCGAGTCGGGGAACCGTTTCTCTACATCTACCCAGGCATTCGCCGATATGCTGCGTTCGAATCCGGGGCCCCAAATGTCCCGACCCCTTCCCTGGGGGTGGCTTTTCATCCCGGATCAATGGCTGATGGCCCCCGGGCCCGTGCAGGGCCTCGGAAGCCGAAATCCAAGGGAAAAACGCCAGATCTACAAAAATCATATACTCGGATCCCTGGGTATCTAACAACCCCAACCTGTCGGGCGGGGACCAATACAAGGATCGCGCCAAAAGGCTCTTGTTAATTATGTTGGTTTGTGTGGGGGCTTTGTTTGTGGTGCTGTAGCGCTGTTAACGGGACGGCACGACCGTCGCCGATCGTTCACCTGAGTGTGACATCCCACGGTCAACCTGGTACTGCAGCTCACCTAAAATGCGGCGATCTTCGGCGATCCTGGAATCAATGATCCGTAAGGCGCCGTCAAGAACTTGGCGTAGAGCAGCAGTGTTGGCAGCGTTCGTCTGAACGCTCTGCAGTAGTCCAGAGTACTGCTTGGGCACGAAGGTTTCAACCTGGTCTCTGAGCTCAGCTATCTCGCCTGCAGCGGACGTCACCGCCGGCAGGTCGTCTGAAATGGAGAGGTGGGGAGCGTCAGCTTCCCCCTGCACCCTCTCGCGAGGAGCGCATGGCCTCTGCGAGGCAGTGCGCGGGCTCGACCTCCTTTCGTCGCGTGGGCCTGTGGCCCCACGACGGTTGCGCAAGGGCGAGCTGCGGCTAGGACCGTGTGTGTGTGTGGTGTCTCATGAGATGATACCTTGGGGTACTGCGTCTGCGGCTGTGCCGCCACTGGTCTACTGAGCTCCTCGAAGGTGGCTACGTGTTCCGCTACAGGAACGGTCGCAGGGCTGGGCGTGCCAGCGCCTGAAGTCCATCGGCGGTTAGCGCGAAAGCGCCCTGGAGTATCAGGACCAGCGGGGCTCTCGCCCGACGCAGTTGGGATTGCCCCCGACGGAGGAGGAGATGGAGGATCGAAGGTAGGCGTGTGGAACTTCATACTGCCTGCTCCTACTCCTTTTCCTGTCCCCCCGCGGGCGGCGTGGCGGCGAAGTTCAGCAGCCAGCCGCGCCTCGGGTCCGTCGGAGCTGGGGGGGGGGGGGGTACCTGGGACACCTGCGCAGTCCGCACTAAGGCTCTCCATCTCGTCACCGAGCCGTCGCGCCGTCGGTGAGCTCGGACGCGAGGCCCCGATGGACCCATTACGGCGCATGCGCCGCTGGGGTTCCATCGAGGCCGCGTGCGAGATCGCGACGCAGGGTTCGATGAACTGTGAGCTTTGAAGGGCTGATCGCCTGTGTATGGGGTTAGAGTACACAGGTACAGGACCCCTGATCCGTTGGTAGAGGAAAGGAGGGAAAGATGGATATCTTATCCTCCTGCACGATCAAAGGCCTGATCGATCTATTCCAATACCTGAGCCCAAACGGCCAGGCGCAGGAGAGATGAGGATAAGGAGTATATATGAGGGTATTACACGAGTTCTATTCACATCCACGAGCCACTGCACCATTCGAGGGCCCGCGAGTGGCCAAGCGACGTCCAACGCCGCCTCGCGCAGCAAGTGGCGCGCGGACATAAAACTGCGGGTGCGATCCCCGCGCGCATTACACTCGACCGCCGCCGTGCGAATGTCCTCCGCCACGGCCGCCTCGCCCTCGTCAGCAGGCTGCGGCGCGGGCGGATCGCGGCAAAGGCGGTGCCGCACCCCGTCGCGACACAGCAGGGCCTGACAAGAGGCGCCGAAAGCGATGTCCGCGTCGCGGATGGTGACCTCCTCGCCGCGCCAGAAATCGCCCTGCTCCTCGTCGACGTATCGCTTGGATCCCGCGATGCAACTGTGGGCCGCCAACGAATCGGTGTCGTGGAACCCGCGGTCCGCGCCGGCAGCAGCAACCCAGGCGCCAGCCGCAGCAGCTGGCGCGGCGCCGGGCATCGGCGATCGGCGCGGGCTCCATCCCGCCTTCGGCGGCGGCGAGCGGGGCGGCGGCCCAGCCAGCCAGGTAATCCTCGGCCCGCCGGCGGAAGGCGCTGCCAGCGGCGATGTCCCCTGGGCGGAAGGCAGAGCGAAACGCCTTATATTATGCCCAGAAAGATTTGGAACGCCCGCGGCAACACCACTAGGCAACGCATCTTCGTAGTCCTCCAGCAGCTTTTCGTGCACGTCGTCATCTGGCTTGAGCACCGCGTGGCCGCCCGCGGCGCGGCGGAGGACGAGGCGCAGGTGCCAGACCGCCTCGGTCGCATCAAACAGAGCCTAGAAGCGGCGCCCTGCTGCCACTGAGAAGTAGTCAGACATTAGGCGAACGGGGCAGCCCCGCCCTCAAGCATGCCGCGAGCCCCAACCGGCAGCGTCAATTGCCGGGGCGCCTCGACGCCAGCTGGCACCAGGATGGGCGCGGCAGGCCACGGGCTCCACCAGCGGGCCGCGAACCAGCCCGTCACGACCTGCCCCGCGGCGACGTCGAGCAGCGAGGCGGTGGACCAGCCTGGGGTCCCGCAGTCGCACTGGCAACTGCAGATCGGCGCGGACGGCGCGGACCGCGCCAGGAGGCAGAAGGATCCGATAGAGAAAGCGTAGGCGACTGCGGCCGGGTCGACTGGCATCCTTATCCGGACAAGAAAAGGCTTGATAAACAGTGGCCATGGCGATCATCAACATTGCCATTGACAGTTATTGGCGGTAGACAGAACTCCCTTTAGCAAACCTCCCCTTACTGAAAACGGCCGGGGCCGAAACCGACGGACCTGGACCCACAAAAATGACGGCCGCGACGCCCTCTCGCAAACCGAAAACGGCCAGTTCCTTAATCGACGTGTCAGGGTAGGAGGTCTGTCAACCTCCGAAGTTAGCACGACGCCAACACTGACGACAACGACGACGACGACGACGCAGACACTGACGACAACGTCGACGACGATGACGACAACGACGACGACGACGACGTCGACGACGACGACGCCGACGCCGACGACGATGACGCCGACGACGACGACGACGACGCCGACGACTTCGCGCGGCGAGGGACCTGCTGCTCCTCGCGCTGCCGACGCCGACGACGACGCCGACGACAACGACGACGACGACGCCGACGCCGACGACGACGCCGACGACGACGCCGACGACGACGCCGACGACGACGACAACGGCGCCGACGCCGACGACGCCGACGCCGACGCCGCTGCCGACGACGACGATGCCGACGACGACGCCGACGAGCGGCGACGACGACGCCGACGCCAACGACGACGACGCCGACGACGAGCGGCGATGGGCCTGCTCGCGCTGAGCCCCGAAGCTCCCCGCCACCCCCCGCAGCGCTGCGGCGGCCCGGCCGTCCCTGGCCGCTGGCAGCCCGCGCCTCCAGCGGCGGCGCTCGGGGGCGCCGCCGCCGCCGCCGCCGAGGCTCGCAGGTCTCGAGGGTCCGAAGGTCGGGGCGTCCGGCTCGAGGCTCGAAGGTCTCGAGGCTCGAGGGCTCGAGGCTGGAGGCTCTCGAGGCTCTCGAGGCTCTCGAGGCTCTCGAGGCTCGAGGCTTGAAGGCCTCGAGGGCCCCGATAGGGTCGAAGGCCTCGAGGGCCCCGAGGTCGAAGGCCTCGAGGGCCCGAAGGTCGAGGCTCGAGACGGTCCGGAGGTCCGAGGGTCCTCCTCGTCGCGATGCTGTGCTGTGCAGGTTGCCAGTTGTCGCACGGGTGTTCGCCGGATAAGCCTGGCCCAGAACGCCCTCCTGAGCTGTCTCGAGCCCATGCTAGCGACTAAGTCCAACATGCAGCAGATCGATGATAAGTTGGCGCACTTCGGGAGAGTGGCCTTGAAGGGAAAACCGAAGTCCGAGACCTCCTAGATGGGGTCGGAGCAGACGGGGTCGGAGGATCGCGCCGCATCGCCGATACATCCACGAGGCATCGGCGATGCACTGGCGATGCATCGGCGATGCACTGGCGATGCATCGGCGATGCACCGGCGACGCACCGGCGATGTCGACGTGAATCCAATCGGGCTGCACGTCGAGCCGCGCCGCCGATGCATCAGCGATGCGGCGCGACCCTCCGACCCTACCTACTCCGACTCCATCTAGGAGGCCTGGATTTGTTTGGGCCCGTTGAAGGCGCTGATCGACGGAAAGCCGAACCCCCCTGAGCGTCCAGGGATCCTCGGCCGAGGCTGTCATCCTGTCGCTCGAGCAGCAGGCTCATGAGCGACGAAAGCAAAGGGGTCTTACGCGAGAAGACTCAGCGATCTTACGCGGCGGCTTACGCGGGCCACTCGCGAGGCACGCTACGCTGGAGACCAGGGCGCTCACGCGCGACCTTACGCGGGCAGCTGACGCGCCAATGTCGGCGCAGACGACCCCGTTTGTTGGTGTCTTCTGGACTTCGGCGCCGGCGAGTCTTCTGGACTTCGGTATCTAGGGCCCGTTCTGGTGCCCGGGGACCATCGGAAACCAATCTTAGGTCGGGCGTGTCCCCCTTCAGGCGGATTTGGGACGAAAACTTCAAAGTACCCCAAATAAACGTTCCAAACAAAACCTCACAAATCATCAAAAGTAGTCTCCTGACTATTTGTTATACTATTTGGGAAGATTCCTCCTGTAGGGGGACAAGTCCGACTTGAAAACAATCTGGGACGCACAACTGCCTCTGCGCGCTGCCCACAGCCTTCCCCTGGTCCTCCTGCTCAGCCCGCTCCTTCCAGTCCACTCCAGCTCTTGCTGCTGCCGTTCGCCCTCTCCTCCTCCTCCTCCGCCTCCTCCTCCTCGTCCTCCTCCTCCTCCTTCCTCATCCTCTCCTGTTGCTCCTGCTCCTCCTTCAGCTCATCTGCCACCTCCTCCTCCAACGTGTGCTACTTCCCCTGCTTTTTTTTTCGATTGCGCATAACACTATGGGGTGAGTTTCAGGAGCGCTATGACACGCGTCGGCTGATTGATAAAAGCGGCACAGTGGAAAAAGATGGACGGGATGGGGCAGGGTGCAAACTATGGCGCGACCGTCCCTAGCTTGACCTCC